AATTTTAACTCATATCAGGATTTTCGGTTTATGCATATATTGACAATACGGAGGTGACGAGATTGAAGAGTTCATGAAGAAATCATATATGCCTTCTGTTCCTACTGTTTATTTTTCAGTGACCCTGTGTGGCAATTTGCAACCATTGATACGACCCAGAGCAATCCCAAACCACATTCACACAGACACCAAAAAACCTAATTCAACAGCCACATCCCTTTCAATACAAATTCTTAAAATCTCAGATTAAAAAAAAAAAAAGGTCAACTCTTCACCCACGGCAATGCCACAGTGATCCGGGGTCGCTTCTGTACCTCCATACACTCCGTTGATGCTCATCACTACTACCGGCTTTCGAGAGATGCTCCTTGCTGCGCTACGCACGCGGCATATCACGGCACTCCGATGCCACCATCGGTTTCTCCGGCCCCTAAAACCCCATCTGGCCCGTTTTCTCGCCTCCGCTAGCCCGTCTGCGCCAGAAATACCGAAACCCAAGCTTCACAAGAACCAGGAACCGATAGATCAGCTCCGGCAAATCACACAGTACTCGCTACATTCGTTGCGCCAGCGTCTTACAGAGAAGAAGCTAAAGCACCCTTTCGATGACCTCAATCACTGGTCGCCACAGATCATAGATCGCAATCTAGCTCGATTCCAACAGAACATAGACAAGGAGTATGAGCTCTTTCTAGAAAGCCCACTGAGGCTCGAGGAAGTCACCAACATCTCCTTGGCAGACTACTTCAAACCAAGGCTCGACAAAATAGCCCCGCTTATATACTCCATCCATCTCAACATGTACCCAGACGACCTCGCAAAGTTCAATGGGTACACCAAGAAGCTGGAGATCATCACAGATATTTTTGCAAACTTGCTCAGTCAGGATTACGCTGAAAGGCGTCTTGTGGAGGAAGGACCGGAACATCGCCAATTATGGGACCTTCTGGCTCCTGCTGAATGGTACCCTAAAGCCAGGCGGATGAAGAGAAAGATCGTGATGCATGTGGGACCCACCAATTCCGGAAAAACCTACAACTCCCTTCAAGCTCTCTCCAAAGCAAAGCTGGGCTACTACGCTGGCCCGCTTCGTCTTCTAGCACGTGAGATCTACGAAAGATTCCAGGAACAGGGCATAAGCTGTAACCTCATCACGGGTGAAGAGGTTATTCCTTCTTTGGACGAGTTTGACAATGTCACAGAGCTCTCGTCAGGTACAATCGAGATGGTTCCTCTCAACAAGATCATGGACATTTGCATTATAGACGAGATTCAGATGCTTGCAGACCCTTTGCGAGGTTCAGCATGGACGAATGCTGTTTTGGGTGTTCAGGCTAAAGAGCTCCATTTGTGTGGTGAGCCCAGTGCCGTTAATCTTGTAAAGGAGCTTGTGAAGAACACCGGTGATGAGCTACATGTGAAGGAGTACCAGCGTTTGGGTAAATTGACCGTGGAGAACAAACACCTTAACGATTTGAAGCGGCTCCGGGCTGGCGACTGTGTTATCGTGTTTTCCAAAAGAAAGATTCTAGAGCTCAAGTGTGAAATCGAGAACAAGACAGATTTGAAGGTGGGGGTGATCTACGGTGCACTTCCTCCAGAAATCAGATCCAAGGAAGCCAGCTTTTTCAACTCCGGCCAGTACGATGTTCTTGTCGCTTCCGATGCCGTTGGAATGGGTCTCAACTTGCGAATCAAGCGTATCGTGTTCGGATCTATGATGAAGTTTGATGGTACGGAGATGGTTCCATTGTCTGTTTCGGCTACGAAGCAAATTGCTGGACGAGCGGGTCGATATAGTGCTTCTGCTGGAGAGCTGGAGGGTTTTGTCACGGCGTTACATGTGAGAGACATGAGGCTTCTCAAAAGCCATATGAAGCAGGATCCAGAGGAGTTGCTGAAAGCCTGTGTATGGCCTCCCAGGGAATTCTGGACATACTACCTTTCTTCGTTTCGACACCCCGTGCCGTTGTCTCAAGCCATCAAGAAGTTTGACGAACAGGCCTCCAAGTACAAGTTGGAAGCGTACTTCTACATGGACTTTGAACGTCAGCTCGAGCTTCTCGAGGCCGCCATCAGTGGAGGTCTAGAGAAACAGATTTCGATCGAAGACCAGGTCACGCTTATGGTGACGCCGGTGAACTTCAGAGGAGTTGGACCAGAGGTTGCCGAAACATGCATCAAGTTCTTCCAGGCCATTCTGAAGTGCGAGCCGAAAACCGTTTTTGACTTTGACTTCTTGCATCTTTCTGTTCTCCGGCAAAGACCCTCCGTGGCTGGTTCACCGCAACAAATTCTCGATTGTCTTTCAGCTTTGGAAATTGACCACAAGTTGGTGCTCTGCTTCATGTGGTTGTGCCAGAGGTGGCCGACGATTTTCGTCGACAAAGAAAGCGCTCACGAGATCAAAACCATGGTTGAAAAGAGAATTAGCGAAGAGCTCGTGTGTCTCAGAAAAGTATCCAAAGGAAACACCAAACAGGTCTGGATGCAAAAAGACGAGCTGCGTTCCCCCAAACGCAGACATGTCGCGGGGCAATATAACAGTTCCCCGCGATCGGAAAAACCTAGGTGGGGCACATCGCGGGGCCGATCTCCGAACAACACCCACTAGCATCGGAGAAAGCTGCTTGAGAGGACGCCGATCGGGGACTCGTCACCATTCACGCCCGAAAACGGCCCAGTTCCAGGGCTCCAGAACCATTTGGAATCGGCCATTTCTTGGGCATCCTGTACATAGCCCACAGAGTCCCCCACGTCCCCAACACTTTCTCCAGAATCTTCAAGCACCTCCCACTAATTGCTGTCCAACACATCCATGAGCACCGTTATCATCGTCGGCGGACCTGCCGGAACAGGAAAAACTACCGTGGCGGAGCTTCTCGCCAAGCACTTCAACGACTGCCCTTTTGTTGAAGGCGATGCCTTGCACCCACAAGCCAACATCGACAAGATGTCTGCGGGCCAGCCTCTTACCGACGATGACAGATGGGGTTGGCTTCAGAACTTGAGTGAAGTCGCTGCTCAGAAGGCCGTCGAGTCTCCACAGAAGGTTTGCATTGCTTCTTGTTCGATGTTGAAGAAGGTGTACAGAGACCACATCAAGAAGAGTGCCCACCACGTCGATCCGCTGTTGAAGTTCAAGTTTGTGTTTCTCTGGACGACGTACGAAGAGTTGATGCAGAGAGTCAGCAGTCGGGCGGGCCACTTCATGAAGCTGGACATGGTGCGTTCTCAGTATGACATTATGGAAATTCCCAAGGAGCAGGAGCTTATTGCCAACGGCGGCGACTCCTTGGATGTGGACACGTCGGGCAGGACGCCGCAGGAGATCACCAGCGGCGTGATTGCAGACATTGGCATTTAAGATAATAAAAGTTTAGATTTGGTGATGAAGTGGTGTAGATGTGGCGGTGGAGCCGAGTGAAATGAGAAGAAATTGGAGGGTGGATGAAAATGCTTTAGAGGATTTGCCTAGATGGTCTGTCCCAGATCTCTGGGAATACTTCATTTAGAACGTCAGGCCCACCTTGCATTAGACCTGCCTTATCTCTAGATCGAGACGGTGATAAGAATTGGCAAAACACACAATTACACAAGAGAAAAATAGAGATCTACCGGAATCATGTGTTATGTTTGTCAGGCCATTCAGCCGCTCACAATGGCGATGAGCTCACAATAGCCATTGTGGACCAGTGGATCACTGCCGCGTGGATTGTGTGGATGTCAACAAAAGGCCAGGTCTTATGGAAGAGGAAATGTGGATCTAGGGGTGGCTTGTTTGGGTATTTTTGGTGAGGTCTTGCAACGTGGTTGCAGCCATTTCTGGCAATGCACTGGCAGAATACGCAGATAGATTGAATAAGGGCCCTCTTGGCCCCATTTTTTTAAAAGATTTAGTAAAGATAGCTTTACGTTTAGCAGACATCGTTAATTGATCTAATAAGAATCGGCGATCTAGATTCGTTGTCGACTTCGATGAGTACCTCGTTTGAGACATACAGGGTCCAGAGCACAAAAGCTGACCCACAGTGCACGTCAATTCACCACAGTTTCTGAGTAATCTTTTTCAAAAAGCATGCACCATCCCAACAATCCGACCAATTAGGCTACGCTGGAACCATATCAGGCCTCCATAAACTTTAAGCTCGTGGAAGCCCCATCGATCAGCACCCCAGCAAACCAGCAATACAGTCCACCCATTCTCTCACAACATCATATTTCTTTCTCTACCACAATTCTGAAAAAACATAAACTTTCTCTACCACAAATTCTAAAGCACTTTATTCTTTCAAAACCCTCGTTCTCTGTTTTTGGTCCTCCACTGGTCCTCCACCAGCAACTCCCACTTACGCCGGTTTGCAGCCACCTAAGCCGAGTGTCCCCAGACTGCCCTGCGGGTTCCCTTGGGTTCCCTTCAATTTCCCTTGGAATCCCACTGGGCCAGCAAAAACATTGCAAACTTCCAAAAAAAGCCTCTGAATCCAAATCCAAATCCAATTCTGTACCGCCTTTTCGCAGCCAAACGTCAGCCAAGCCCGCAGCCATTAGGCCATTCCACATTGGAGCAGCCAAGCCAAGGCGAGGTGAAAAAAGCGCCCTCTCAGTACCAGGCGACGAGGAAGCCACCACAAACCAACGAAAACAACAAAAACAACCAGACCCTGAAAAACAACTAAGCGTAATTTACTAAAATACAATTTAAAAACACCTTCAAAAAACAACAAAATTACCTCCAAAAGCTTCCACGCAACCAGCTGCCTTTTACCCGTTTCGCAGCCGGCGAGCACTACCGAGGCTTCGTAGCTCCATCGCAACCAGAGCTCAAACCCCCAGTCCGAGTACCACTTGCACCACTCAGACCGCCCCTGGCCGACCCTCCCACGCGGCTGCATTTTCGACAGGGTCTTTCCGACGGCGTTTTTAAACAAGCCAAATCTTCGAATCCATTCCTTCAGTCATCCACTCCTTCTTCGTCAGTCCACTTGACCTCCTCCACCATGACTAAACAACGCAAGGTGGCGGTGATCACGGCAGGCAACTCCGGTGTCGGGTGGCACACCGCCCACGAGCTCTACGTCCAGGGCTACGTGGTGTACCTTGCTGGTCGTTCCAAAATGCGTTGTATGAAGCTGATCCACGAGATCGAAACCGTCGCCGACAGCCTGGGCGGAGAGCTCCGTTTTCTCGAGTTGGACTTGGCTCTGTTGGACCTGGTGCTTGCGGCGGCCACGGCGCTCAAATCCATGGAATCCCACTTGGACGTGTTGGTCAACAACGCCGGTGTCATGGGTCTCTCGCCTGCAACGACGCCCGATCTGTTCGAGCTCCAGCTCCAGACAAACTACGTGCTGCAGTTTTTGCTCACCACAAAGCTCTTGCCGTTGCTTGAACGTGCTGCCGATATGGACCCAGACGGTGACCCTCCCAGGGTGCTCTACCTCTCCTCCGTGGGCCACCGCTTGGCCTTCCGCTACTTCAACCTCGGCCTGACCTTCGACTACCACCCGGACGCCATCTTCACGTGGTTCCGCTACGCCATGGCGAAAACCGCCGGCATCCACTTTATGAAAATGCTCGCCTTGAGAAACCCCAGGATCCTCTGTGTGTCCGTGCAGCCGGGCTTCGTCATGAACACAAACTACTTCAGCTACTGGACCCGCTTGCCCATCATCGGCATCTTGTTCTGGTGCTTCTTCCAGCTTTTCGGCTACTTCTTCGGCGTTACTGTTGAGCAGGGCGCCGATGCCTTGGTCGCTGGCGCCTTGGACCCGCAATTGACCTTGGAGGAGCACAGCGGCGCCACTTTGGGCAAGGACGGCAAGAAGGTCTCCTGCTCGAGTGTTGCCGGCAACATGGACTATGCTGCACGTTCCTGGATCTGGACCATCCACCAGTTGGGCAAGCGACACATTGACCTTTAGGTGGTTGTGTTGGTTTCAGCTGCATCTAATCACAAAAACTATGGGCCACTATCCATACGACCAACGTCAATCTAGCTTTCTGCTACCACAATACCACCTTTCCATTTCATCACATTTATTTTAATTTCTGCATTGCCATAATAAATTCAGCTCACCAACCATCTACTAAATGTATTGTTTTTTCTGTATTATTGCCTACCAGCCTACTAAATGTATTAGTTCTTCTGTATTGTTGCCTACTAGCCTTACAAATGTATTATTTTCTCTGTCTTATTGCCAACCAGCCTCCTTAATGTATTATCTGTATTGTTGGGCCTACTAAATGTAATATTTTTTCTGTATTGTTGGCTCACCCGTCATCAACTGATCTATTGGGCGGCCCGGAATATATAGAACTCGAATAGACTAAGTACATCACAACTTGGAGTCGTGGTCAACGCGCTCAATGACAATGGCAGAGGCTCCACCACCACCGTTACACACACCGGCAACACCGATCTTGCCGCCCTCCTGGTTCAACACAGAAAGCAAGGTGACGATGATTCTGGCACCAGAACAGCCCAATGGGTGGCCCAAGGCAACGGCACCACCGTACACGTTCATCTTGTTGTGAGGAAGGTTGCAGATCTTAGCGTTGGCCAAACCAACAACGGAGAAGGCCTCGTTGACCTCGTAGAAGTCCACCTCGTCCTGGCTGACGGAGGCGTGCTTCAAGGCCTTTGGCACAGCCAAAGATGGAGCGACAGTGAAGTCAATAGGCGTTCTGGCGGCCTCACCCCAGCCTCTGATCTTGGCCAATGGGGTCAAGCCCAACTCCTTCAACTTGGCCTCGGACACCAACACCAAAGCAGCACCACCGTCGTTCAACTTGGAGGCGTTAGGGGCGGTCACGGTACCGTTCTCCTTCTGGAACACGGTTCTGGCGGACTTCAAACGGTCCTCGTTGAGGTTGGCGGGCTCCTCGTCCTCAGACACAACCTTGTCTGGCTTGCCTCTGAAGCCCTTGATGGTGACGGGGGCAATCTCACCCTTGAACTTGCCGTTGGCAGCGGCAGCCTGGGCACGGTGGTAGGAGGCCAAGGCAAACGCGTCCTGGTCGTCTCTGGTGATGTCGTAGTCCTTGGCACACTTCTCGGCAGCCACACCCATCAACTTCTGGTCGTACACGTCCAACAAACCGTCCTTCTGGACACCGTCCACCAACGCAGCGTCACCGTAACGGGCACCGCCACGGGCCAGTGGCACGTAGTATGGAGTGTTCGACATGGACTCAGCGCCACCAGCAACCACAATGTCGGCGGTTCCGGTCAAGATGGTCTGAGCACCCAAGATGACAGCCTTCATGCCCGAGGCACAGACCTTGTTGATGGTCGACGCCACCACGGACTCAGAAAGACCAGCTTTCAAGGCAACCTGACGGGCGGGAGCCTGGCCGACGTTGGCCTGCAAGACACCACCAAAGATGATCTCTTCAACCTGGTCTGGCTTAATCTGGGGCACTTTTTCCAAAGCGGCCTTGACGGCGTGGGCACCCAATTCGGGGTAGGTGAGCGAGCTCAACTGGCCCTGGAACGAGCCGATCGGCGTTCTGGCGGAGGCGACAATGTACACTGACATGATGTAAAAGAAAGTGGTTGGTGGTTGATGGTTTTTCGCGAGACGCTTTATACCGCGCTATACGAGGTGGTTCCGAGGTTGAGGGGAGGTGGGGAAGCCGAGTGTTATAGGTGGGTTTGGGTGAGTTTTGTGGGTTAGAGTCGAGAGAAGAAGGGAGTGGTTTACTTTTTTTGGTTTTTTAGATCCAAGTGGTCGGTATTGGTGGATCTCTTATTGGACATGGAGAAGTGGGTATGCAGTATGGTCCAACGGCCCCACAACGGGAGTGGATAGGGTGGTTGTAGTTTACGGGATTTATTTAATTTGGGTGATGTAGAGTAATTGAATTGGGATTGCTTGTTACTTGGGCATTAATTTATGGTTTTGAGTATGGGGCATCGGGGTTCATACGTGGGAGGCTTGTGCAGCTCGAGGTGAAATTTGCCATGTCGGTGAAAAATTGACGATACCCGGGGAAAGTGTTTTTGAAATGATACGATGATTATGCTTTTAAGGGTTTAGACAACGTTCGGTGAACTTCGTCTTAAGGGGAGCCCACCTGAATGAGCTAAGGCTTGACCCCACATTCCAATAGTCAAGAAGGTAGGATGATTAGGGGTATAATTTCTCGTAAAAGCTTATTTATGTGGATCCCAAAGAAGTTCTTCATGAAATGACTCGGAGAATAGGATGTTTACAAATACCGTTTTTGACTTTGAGGTCATCGTACCACTATGCTCTGATGCTGCAGTGGACATCCACACGATCATCGTGGAATGAGGCCCTTCGATGAATGAGACTCTAATTGAAGTGATTAATGTTTCAGAAGACGCCCTGACTAAACGCATGAGACTCTTCAAATCTGGATATAGAGTATCGAACATGTGCTTTGCCGCTATGACCAATTGGCTGCAAACGGTTCATAAGCTCGTAAGCTCTCCAATGACCCATTTATAGAAGCGCCTACTTAATCAAGTAATGTAAGTTTTCGACTCCGGGCCTAAAAATACAACCTCTCTGTTTTCTTCAATTTCCAAATTCTACTTCCTCGGTGGTTCAGCCGTATCCCTCTTTGTAGATCTTAACTATGCGAAAGCACCTACACCATCTACACCACCACCAACACCAACGACTGAACTACTCAACCCCATTTCACCTTCTATTTCAAAATCAAAAAACAAATCACCCCGAAAAGCCCAACCACCCATCTCCGTCAACGGCCAAATTTCGTTCACGTGACTGCCCGCTTATCACTTGCTTCCTCGTTCCAACTACACCTTCTACACTTCTTCCCCATGTTGCCTATAAGACGCCTTGCTGCGTTTCCAAAACCACATACGCGTCTCTCGTACGCGTGGATTCACAATTCTGCCCCGCGTATGCTTTTCAACAAGCAGCCTACTCCACAAACGCCAGCTCCAGAGAACAAGAAGCAAATCGATCATCAAGCCTTTGATAAACACCCCATTTTGAGCAAAGTTCCCCGATTCTTGAGACCTTGGACCACACAGTTCATACACGCTCCAGTCTCTCATGTTACTGCTTTTCTTGTGCTCCATGAACTCACTGCTATAGTGCCTTTGGTGGGTATATGGTACATGCTTCATTCGTACCACGACTTGCTCATGGTATCCTCATTGGACTTGCCATCTTGGGCCATTGAGAAGGGAACCAAAATTATAGATCTGGCAATGGAGTCATTTGATTGGGGAAACTACTCGTTGAATGAGAAGGTTCAAATCATCATGGAAGGTGCCTACGCTTATGTTATAGTGAAGGCGCTTTTCCCAGTAAGACTAGCATTCAGTTTATTGGGAATGCCGTGGTTTGCAAAATGGTTTGTTTTGCCCATTACCAGATTGTTCTCTAGAAAACGCAAAACTCCCACTCCTCCAGTGGAGGCACCCAAGGCACCAACTCAGCACAAGGTGAAAAAGATAGAGAAACCAAGACTATAATCTACAGCGGCAACAAAGGCGTTTAACTTTTTTAGCATTCATCATGACAACATAAGCAAAATTAGACATTAGATGTCAGTATGTGTGTAGCGAGCAGCGCAACGTTTACTCTAATGTGACCTCCATCTCTGCGGGGCTCATTGGCACAAACGAGTCCAAGCTGTTTCCCCTCGTGATCTTCAATCTATCCAATGCATGCTTGGGAACCAACACCAGATTCAAGGAAGGCTCCACGGACATCTCACGGTCATCAAAATCAAACAACTCCGGCAAGTCGCGCACATCAGGCTGATTAGAATACAATTGGTAGTTGGCGTTATTTTGATGTGGGTGGTGCGAGGAGTTGCTGTAGATTTGTTGGCTGAACAATTTCCTGTAATTAGGCAACTTTGTGTTGTCATCCCTCAACTCGTCGAAGTAAGGGTCGGCCAAGGCCTCAATGCACGAGATTCTATCGACAGGAGAGTACTCCAAAATCTTCATTATGAACTGAACACAGTCGTTGGGGTTCTTCCTGAAGATCTTCGACAAAGGCACAGGCTTGATCAGGGGGAATTTGTACTCGGTATAGTTTGGATTCATATTCTTGATCTGTTCTCTTGTGGGCGTGCCCAAAATCTTAATGATTTCAACCAATTGGTCAACACCAGACTCACCAGGGAACAAGGGCTGGCCAAAGATTAATTCGGCCATGACACATCCTGCAGACCAGACGTCGATCTTGGTAGTGTAGTTGGTTGCGCCAAAAATTAACTCTGGGGCTCTGTAGTACCTAGAACAAATGTATGACACGTTGGGTTCCAGGGGGTTGAGAATCTTGGCCGAGCCAAAATCACACAATTTGAGCACACCAGTCTCTGGATCGATCAACAAGTTTTGGGGTTTGATGTCTCTGTGACAAATGCCTTGGGAGTGTATGTAGTTCAAGGCCCTGAACATTTGGTAAGTGTATAACTTCACTTCCAAAGAGGGCATGCTAAGTCTTTTGGAAACATAGTAATGCGATGCTTTGTATAATGTCTCGGGGACAAATTCCAAGATCAAGTTCAAGAACAACTCGTTTTTGTCATTGTTGGTGTAGAAGTAGTACCTCAAGTCAACGACATTACGGTGATGTACCAACTTCATGATTTGAAGCTCTCTGTTTTTGAATCGCTTATCCTGCAAGACCTGCTTGATGGCAGCAATCTCATTGGACGGTAAGAGCTGAGTCTGAAACACCACACCAAAGGACCCGTGGCCTACCATCTGGGACTTGGTGTACTGAATTGACTCGAGCTTCCCCGTCAGACCGTTGTTAACATTCTCAGTTATGACTTCTATTTTGGACATGTTAGTATGTGTGACACTTTGTCGAGAGGGACGGGAGAAACGAGATCACTTTGGACTGGGGAACTGGGAGCAAATGGAGGCGGAGCCGTGGTAATTGAATGAGTGAAGTGCTCTTTGGTCGAAAAGGACACGTTTCAAGCAGTGAGATCACAGGTGGGAGAGAGCCTAAGTTGGCCTATCGTGAAGAACAGAGCGGAGACGTCAATCGTGAGTGGATGTGGGTATTTGACCCCAGGATGCGTGCCGACCACTAAACTTCGGGAATAACACTGATGCGGGTCCGAACGAGGTTCAATTCGTGTTGGACTTGACTTTTCTCTTCTATGGATCCGTAAATCACAAAGGGTAAACCCCAGAAAAAACAAGGCCTTGAATACTCGCGGGTGTTGCGACCAGGTTTAGGTCACGCAGCAAATTTGGGCGCGCACGACTTTCTGCCACGATCGACTTCACCATCGATAGACTTCTCTCAGGGTGGGGTTGCCGCGGTGCACGACATCCTGCGGGGCTGACGTAGTCTCGCCGCAGGGATAACAAGGGGAGAAATGGGCCAGATACCACATCACGTGTCGTAAACTGCCACGTGTGCTTTTCTTCGGAAGCTTATTTCCAAAACTGAGCCCTAAAATCTCCGACTTTGAATCCTAGCGGAAACACCCGGTCAGCTCAGCGGAACAAGCTGCTGCAGCAACACCCTTTCCTGCATTGGACCGTCGCTCTTTAGCCAGCTTTGCAATGCGCCCTTATTCATCTTTCCTGCATGGAGTCGTGATGATGCCGGTCTGCAAAACCCCGCAAAGGAAACACTCGAATTTTGATCACGAGAAGCGGCACCGTCGGCAAGTGGATCTTAGGCGAGAAGGTGTCATTGATCATCAACCTCAATGAGGCTTCACCAACAAGTCTCAAGGCCCCAACACGCGACCTAGACCACTTAGGCTGCCCTGCATATATGTGGGGAAGAGATGCTTCTCCACAAGTTACGAAGGATTTTGCAACGCCAGTCATTGGTGGTTTCAGGCTCGCTATTTGATCAGCCAGATTTCGCCAATTCTACGTGCTCGTAAAAATGCTGCACCCTGTGCGGCATCCTGCCCGAGCCTGAAAGCGAGTATGCCCTATGGTGGCCAACTGGCCGACCCACCGCGTTTGGTAATTCTGCTTCCCCACCTTGCGATTTCTTCGATTTCGGTTCCTTGATTTGGTTATGATTGTTGGTCCCTGTGGCTTTCCTTTGTGCCTCAACTGCGAATGACATAACTCTACGTCTCTGTTCTTTGATCTCAATGTGGAGTGTGCTGGGGAATTCTTAGGTGGTGGTGGAATTTGTAATTGTGGGAAGTTCTCTGGGCATTGGATTCTCTGGATCTGGAATTGGGATGGATATGCTCTGGATCTGGGATTTTGATGGATCTGGGGATCTGTTTCTCTGGGTCTCTTTCTCTCTCTTATCTCTCAAGTATACGTACCAATTTGTTCGCTCATCCTGCGAGCTTTCGATTCGGAATTCTTCATTAACCCGGTCTTTGCGCCCCGGTTGAAGGTCATCAGCAGACGGGTCTGGTCATACGACTGGGTCCGCTGGAGGTCTGTGCTGTCTTGTTCGACGGTGTGCCTGTGGGGCATGATCATGTCACGAAGCTTCAGCGAGAATGTCAGCTTGCGAGGCTTCTCCAACGTCTGCACCGAGTTCTGGCGGGGTTTCACGCCGCTGTGGACCGAGTTCTGTCTGGCTTTCGACGCTATGGAGTTGACTCTGGATTTGGGCTCTTGTTCAGACACCAACGTGCTCTGGTCGCCAAAGGGGTTGTTGAAGCGGAACCCGTCCGTGTTGGCGTTCCCGTTGGCGTGGGCAGTGCCATTGGAATTGCCGTTGGAAGGCTCCACCTTGGCTGGAGCACCCATGGGACCCAGATTCTGCGTGCTTCCGGAGTTCCCCGTCGCCACCGAGTCCTGTCTGCCTCTGGGCTGGTTCTGAATGATGGGTAGCGTTGTGTCCACGACGGTGGAGCCGTTCTTCTTCAAGTCTCTGCGCTCCTTCTGTTCTTTCCGGAGTTCTTTCCGCTCCTTGCGGTCCTCCTTGCGGTCGTCCCGGCGCTCCTCACGGCGGGCCCGTCTCTCCTCCTTGCGGGCCTTGCGGTCCTTCTTCTCGATCTTCTCCTTGACGGTCATTTCGCCCGTCTCCACGTCAATCTCGGTGACAAACGTCTTTTTCGTGCCCGGGTTCTTGAACCCCTTGAGGTGCTTGTTGGCCTTCAGATACACGGGCTTGTCGCCGATCATCTCCTTGATCTCGGGCGTCAGGTAGTCATAGTTGTTGAGGAACTTGGGGTAGTACTTGAAACAGCCAAACTTGCGCTCCAACTCGTCGTAATCCAAGCACTTGATGAAGTCCTCGTCCGTGGGCGAGTCCGGCACGGTGTTGTTGGAAACCTGGAGTTTTCCTATACCTTTAAGAAGGGTAGTCATTTGGCACGGTTACACAGGTTGGAGGCGGGGCAGGGCCTTTTATAGTCAGTTACGCTTTCTGGCAGGCAGGCAGGTGGGGAAGCCTCAGGCCTGACGGATGAGTACACCAGAAAAAAATTACGAGACAGAGGAAAAGCCGGTGTGGCCGGTTGCGTGGTTTTCGGTGAATTTGAAACTACTGCTTTTTTAAAAATTTTATGAATGTTGGTTACCTTGTTTCTTCAAAGATACCGCTGTTGTTTTGCTCTGCGGCTTTGCGTTTCGCAGCTTCAGCAGCAACGGCTATATCTTGGAATGCGCTGCGTGGATCTAGGAAGAGGTTATGAGAGCTGATAGTTGGGCTCTTTTAGGAATATTCTCTAACTTCTTCAACTTTTCTTTTAAAACAACTTTTCTTTTAGATTCACTTTCTTCTTCACCTTCTCACCCTGCCACTACAGCCTTTCCATTGTTCAGCAGGTCACTATTCTCGGCCTCGTTTGTACCGTTGTCTCATTATCAAGAGGTCTGAGGGGAACGACCAGCCGAGCCCTGTTTGTACTAGCAAGGTGACCTTCTGAAGAGATTTTGGTGAGTTTTCAAAACACCCTTCTTTAATCCATCTGCTTTAATCCAACTGTCAGCTTAGTAAGCGTTCAAACAACCCTCGGCCAGCCTCCGAACGCCGTTCAGCGCTGGTCCATTGTTCTCGACAACGGCTGACCAAAAAAAACAAGAATACACGAAAACGGAGCGGAAAGGCTTTTTGTGCTTTAGCGAGACGTCGTGGTTGCTTTTGCCTCAGGGTCCTGGCGTGCCCTTGAAAACCGGTTTGTTCTGAAAAACGGCATAGAGCCAATAAAGGCTCAGTTGCCAACAATGCTCTACGGAGATAAGCTGAATAGAGTTTGACGAGTCAGGCATTCCCTCTGAATAGATGGATTTGATGGCCTGGAGATGTCTGGAGATGAAGGTCCAGGACGAGTTTGAGCGGCGGTTCAAGAAAATATTCGTATTCTGGGCCCGCCGCAGCGCCGCAAGGGCGTCGATCGGTTGTTTGATCTTCTTTATTTTCTATCCTCGTTTCGTCGTAATAAGGTTTGAAAATAACCTTTGGCTTCGTTTGCCCAAGGGTGGGGCCTTGGGTGCGGGTGAGGTAATGGCGCTTATAGGATCGGCTTAAGTGGTGGTTCCGGTTATCCACGGGAGAAAGCGCAAAACAGCCACTTGGACCCGGGGCGCATTTGTGTTTCAAAGATAAGAACAAGAGGTGCTTTTGGGTTTTTGGGTTTTTGAAAAAATAAAAACCTTCCGTGTGTCGTTTGGGTGGTGGTTGCGCTGGTGGTAGCCAGTAGTGGACTTTTCTGCACCCTCGCGTTTGCAGCCATTCACGAAGGACCCATTACGGATTGGTCGGAGCGGTTTAGTGACACCGCCTGAGGGTCGGTAAGGGGGAAGCGGTTTTCAGAATAGACAGAGTGATTTAATTCTTTCGTTTCTTCGTTTTTTCGTTTTTTTTCTTATCTGGATACTCTTTTCAATCCAGCTACCTACCCTCTGGATCGCAACATTGCTATGGAGACCCCGGAAAACCGTTGAACCTGTAGATGTTCCCTCCTCGATCTGGAAATAGCCGACATGCTTCTGCTGTATCCGGTCATCACTGGACCGTTGCGGGCTGTGCTTTCCAGGTCATCCGGGTAGATGACTGGAAGACATTGTTTCGGTTGACGAGGGTTCTGCGGTTCTGGACCGTTGCTGGAATTCCAGAAAAGGACTGGATTGTCTGGTTCTTGACGACCGGTGCCGAGACCGTATGTGGATCTCATGGGACATGGACTGCCGGATTCCTCTTGATTATTATGCTGTATTCGATTGAAATTATCAACATCAGGACGTATTGCAATGAAGATGGTCTCAAGTACCGGAAATGCCAGTAAAGACAAGGAATTCTGAGAAAATAAAGGTTGCCGATGTAAATAAACCAAATCTCCCAATCATGCTGTCATCAGCTCCAGCGAGGTACAAGTGAAAGTTGGTAGCCTAGCCCTCCTTTCGAAATTGGCAAAACCCGTTGATGTCGAGCCAACAATTATGCTGAAACCAGATAAACACACTACTGGTGTGTGGCGTTTCTCCTAGGGATGCACTTCAATGTCAAACTTTCCTCATTAGGTACGAAGGGTCATGCAATGAATTGCAAAACGGCCAAGTGGGAACGACAGAAACGTAGAGATCGTTTAAATTGAAAATCTCTCTCTTCGAAAAGTAGCAAAACACCCCCTTTCGATGAAGCTCTCAAGTCAGAGAGCTGCTCCGGCTGAGAGCCCACCACAGAAGTTGACCACGATCTTCCAGTTTCGTAACTTTAGAAGAGATTTCACCCGTCAGTTAGATGACATTGTTGGCGCTGTAAACGAGCAGGTCTTCTCGTTCCGAACAATAGGCTTGTTGCTTCAAGGTGAGCATCACCAAGTCACAGAGTTCGTTGTGAAGACCCCAGACTTGGCTGACGATCCTGACCTGAAGCTTCATGTTGAAAAAGCTCGTACACGAAACGGTGTAACCAGCTTTGGGGCAGGGCCGAATTTTGCAAACAACATGCTTGTTTTTGAGGTGCTTCATACATACCACACATTTGACTGGTCGGACCTCGAGATGCCTATGCCAATAGTAGGGAGATGCGTCTTGGCTGTGGGGGAAGAAAGGCAAATTTTCCCAGGTCCAAAGTTCCCTATGTCGCATCAGCTCTATGGATTTGGGTCTGAATTGGAGAAGGGCTCAACTCATTATCATGCACTGAGCGGTGGAAGTGTTGAATTTGAAGCAAACTTTGAGCAAGTCCCGTGGATCCGTCAAGAGCCTTACTCTCGTATTGTGCTTCCCGGGATGTATGTACCAAGCTTCCTTTCTTTGAGTGTAATCGTTGCTCATCGTCGTATCCTTAATATGTTGCTCGAGGAGCCTTTACACTTGACCAATATCCGTGTGGAGTTTCAAGAATTCAGTTGCGTACCTAACAAGTACCTCCAATCGACAGAAGTCCGGAGCAAGGTGCTAGTCGACAAGAAGATATCCATGGAGATCTTCCGAGTTAACTGGTTACTCACAATACCCGATACCTTCTATGATTGTGTGATTCCAAAAGTGGGCCCCACGTTTTTCACGGAGGGCTTCATTAGAACTTACGGGTTGAAAATCACAGTAGCACTTTCCCACAAAAGTGGTCCCAGCTTCAACGCATCTGCGTTTGTCGAGATCAATGTGGCACAGGAGAAGTATGAAAAAATTCATGAGAAGGACATATTCAACCCACGCTATATGGGAACTGACGGAATCGAAACTTGTTATGGCACGCATAGCTCGTTGAAGCCTTTCCAAACATCTGAACCAACTGACAATAGCTTGTCATCCTTCAGCCGTCTAAATGCAGATGAAGCTACCGGAAAGTTCCAACGATACTGCTTCCTGATGCACAACAACGGCGAAAAAGGATGCTTCTTACTATCAGCCGATATCATGAAGGGACCGAAATTCGCTGATAGCAGAAATGAACCAAAAAGTGACTTTCTTCAAAGTTCGTTGAAGTTACAGAAGTGGCTCGGAAGCCCCACATGGTTACCAAGTCGAAAATGTCTCTGCTCTGGCTTGGCAACCAGGAGGATTACTCTGCCCACCTTTGGAGCTGGTTCCACCCGCTTCATACCCCTTACTGCTCCTTGTTTAGTAGTTAATGGTCAAGTCATTGAAGCAAATTCACCGAGAGCTTTCACGCAGCTGATCAGGTCATACCCGTACCCTTCATGTCCTTTGGGTGAAGAAGGGATCCCACTTTCGATAGTAGTGTCGCTGTATGGGCGTACTCTATATCACCGATCGAGAGAAGAAACTTTTTTATGCGCTACTCCGGGGATGGAGCTAGATAAGTTTGCCGTCTGTAAGTTCATTGTGGCACGGCCCTTCAAGGATGCTAGCCGGTATCAAAAAGTAGAGGACACGGGCATTCGTTTGGAACACATCAGAATCACATTATTGGAGGAAAAATATGAAAATGGCAAGAAATTTGAGGAAAGTACACCCTTGCTAGACGGCCACTTCCCGTGCACGATAAGATGGAGCGAGTTTCAGGATGCTGTTATCGGTAGTCCAGAAGCTCGTACAAGGTCAATACCTTCAGGCTTTCTCGACTGCAGAATTCCAATCGACACAAAGCCTTCTCTCTTTTGTTTCAAGAAGGGCCTTGCTCGATGGCATGAGTTGGATTGCAGCTTTGTTGTGTCTAATCTGGGGCGTAGCTACACCCTTCATTGCAGACATCAACTTTATATCACGCAAGAAACGGGTACGTCATTGATCTGAATCACTGTGTTCCCTTCTTGGGAAGACATGCCGCCAAAGGACATCCATAGATGAGAATCAAGTTTGATATTTCAGTTCATCCAGTGCTGTTTGAGGAAGGGCTCACAGTACTTGGTCTGGCTCATGAGGGTCAGAGCGTAGAGTGTGTGGAAGACTCACAGGCCCATGGTCGACATGTATTTCAATTATCCTCTAAACCATGCTTTCATAAAGAGCACGGGTTTCATCGAGTGCTTAACCCAGAAGTTGAGGCATTGCTTGGTGAAGCTGGATGTATGATCGCCAAGGTGGCCCCACGCAAGCCGTCAATCAAAGCAAGCCGTCCAAAGTATCAGGAACTCGCTCTGATCAAGACTTTCTCTCACGAGACCTTAAATTAAGAGCCTATCGTCGTCGAGATCGATCTGCTGCGCTGTGTGAGAACAGATAACTAGGTCCAATTCGGTTTTGAAGTTTCGATGTGGCTCTGGATTAAGTATTTGTACGAATCCTGAAACCTTTTAACACCTCAAGAGGCGTTATTCCATTAACTCGACTGGGTGTATCGTTTTAGATGCTCCCAAGGTTTGGGCTATTTAAATGAGTGACTCGCGAAAGGTTGCAAAAACCACTTTGAACTACTTCCCTCTGTACGCCCAGAGCCAACTTTCGACTTTTGAAGCTCAAATTTTGTTTTTGGCCTCTACTAGTTGAACATTGACGACGAGCGAACAAATCGAACGTACCAGATAAGCACCCCGAGCTCTACGACAACTTTCACCGTAGGCTCATTTGTGGAACCGACAAAGATCAAAAATGAGTCCACCGAACCCAGAAGCCACTGGAGGCTTGCTTGAGTTGATTAGAAATCAAGCGACGAACCTTCTCTCTCAATTGACTTTCATGTCAGACTCGGCGGAAGAGTTGCACTCTCAATTGGTTACAAGCGACTATCCTATTTGGGATTATGTGGACTTCCGAAAGAATCAACTTCTTCAGACGACAGGCAGACTCTCTCGAAACCAATATTTTGAGCTTCAACAATTGTATGAAATTGATGACTCCCTTTGGTCGGGAAAGTTCCTTGGAGGCGACCATCCTGCCAAGGCGTACTTATTTCTTCAAGTCGACAATTCTGAAGGTCTTAAAAAGACTTGGGACTCACTCAAGGATATAATCAAAAGAGAGGAAGAAGTCCAAAGGAATCAGCCTGGTAGGTATTATTTGAAGTGGGTTCAAGCAAGATGCTTGCGAGAGACTCGTTGTTGGGTACGCCGGCAAAGGGAAGAATTTGTCAGGACCTTTCCGAGCCAGCGTTACCCTACAACGCAGGCGCAGATCGATGAAACCCTCCAGCAGATACCAGTTGATGATCTTGTGAGGGTGTCCGATTCCAACAACCCGGCACACCAGTTTTGCAGGGGCCATCGGATGCGGCTCAAAGCAACGAAGGATAAGAGGTACAAGCCAGAAATTGATCACCTTGACAAGTTGCTCAAAATCAGGCATCTCTGGTTTCGTGAGCGCCCCACCTATCTGTTTAGGCGTGGCAGCGGGCTTAAAATTGGCTTCAGCAACTAAGGCATACATCTTCGACGATGACCGCCATGCTCTATAGGTCTTAATACATCTGCCGAGCAACGGTGCACCAGTAGGCTCTAGCTCACCCGCCATCCATTGAAGGATTCAGCCCAATGGCTCCTACTCTGGTACTGCGAGATACTCCAGATCGAAGATAGCAACTTTAAGCTCTGAGTCCTTCGAAGCCCATTGCATCGAGGTAGTCCACTTCGGAGTGTTGATAGCAGAATCGTAAAGATCGCTGGCGTGAGTGAAGATGGCTAATATCGAACCTCGCGCTTGGTTGGTAGTATGTGAGCGCCATGTCTTCAACCTCTAGCAGTAGCTAAATGAATCGTTGCAATTAGACCGCAGATAACTTAAAACAGTCTGCTTGTCTTAAAGTGAGGTCTAAAGAGTCCAACAGTGTAAACGCAGCATCGGTTGGGTTCACTCCACTACATCCACCATTGTAGAGATGTGCGAAGATAGCGTCTCATGAAACCCAGATGACAATTACAACTCGCCATACAACGAATAAGTGAACGTAAATTGTGATAATTCGTCTTCATCATCAATTCACTGGACCGCGGTTATGAGCCCTGCCGCCACCTCGGTAGCGTGTCTGGGGTTAACAGTCTCGTGCGTTATGAGCGATAGCCGTGCCCCACAATTTCTATTATCTAACCATTATCGACACAATCACCATCAATACCCCAAATCCCACAAGCATCCCTCTTTTTGCATAATGCCTTCAAGAAACCGAAGAAAAAACCTCTGCCATTCTCGTCCCGCCACGTGCATCATTGTCTACACCGCACCCCGGTGGTATAGACCTGTGAAACTTGTAGATCAGAGCCGTTTGGGCACTTTTCGAAAACCCCAGAAACCACCAAAAAACTGACCAGAACGACACTTTTCCATCCCCACAATCCCCGTAAATCTCGATCGGACGATCCGATTTTACCCCGGCTTCCCACCTCAAGCCACCTTTTTCTTCACCTTGCAGTTACTACCAACACCATCGCGAGAAGCGGCTGCAAAAAAACACAAAATGGCCAAGGTAGCCGAGATAAGCACTCCGATCTCCGTGCCCTTATTGGCCTGCGTATCCGAAACACGGCAGTTTACAGCGATCCGCTATTCCACAAAAGAAACCCATTCTGCCAAGAAGACCTGTCTCTACTCGAGAGCCAAGAGATGCGAAAGCATCATCGAATACGGTCCCAGCGCAACTGATAAAAAAAAAGCCTTGAGAGGCAAGGAGGCTTTCCGATTTTCCTGTAGACTATCACAGGACACCCCGCTGGACCAAGTGATAGCGCATAATCGTGGAACTGGGGTTGGTGATGTTTGGTCCATGAAAGTATTCCAGGGTCCTCCACCACGGCCCAAGGGATGTGATTTTTATCCACAGGGATGGCTCAGCTTTTTCCCACAGTGCATGCTTTGTTCGGCATTGGAGATGCCCCGCCAGTGTGTCTGATCGGTATTGTTGCTGGGCGCCATTTCTTATTCACTTTTTCTTAGGCCCTGTTATCAACCCACCTCTCGCTTCAGTGCCCCACCTTCACTGACAAACGCCGTGCAGCCTTGGTTGTAGATATATAATGGCCGTGCCGCCGGCTGGCCCGTATTCTGTAGATTTCACTTCAACCATGAACAAATCGCCAACGTCTTCAATACTTAGGACTCCCTCTGACAGCAAGGAGAAGCCCATGGCGCTGGTGGACTTCCTCGAGAAGGGTGAGGGGGAACTTATTCTGAACGAGGGGTCGCCTTTTGGAGAGGCTGGTTTCGTTGATGATCGTGAAAACGAGCTCAAGAAAGGTTTGAAAAACAGACATGTCCAGTTGATCGCCTTGGGTGGTGCCATTGGTACCGGTTTGTTTTTGGGTTCCGGCCAGGTTTTGTATACCACGGGCCCTGGTCCCTTGTGGATTTCGTACATTGTCATGTCGGCTGTGGTGTGGTTTGTCATGAACATGTTGGCTGAAATGGCGGCCTTTTTGCCCGTGCCAGGTGCTGGTTCTCAGCAGTTCATCAACGATTTCACCGATCCTTCCATCGGTTTTGCCCTTGGTTACAACTACTGGTACGGTTTTTCCATTTTGGTTGCAACCGAAACCGTCGCTGCTGCCATGTTGATTCAGTACTGGACCACCGACGTCCACATTGCCATCTGGATCTCCATTTTGCTTGCCTTGATGCTTCTTTTGAACGTGTTGCCGGTGCAGTTTTTCGGAGAGGCCGAGTTCTTCTTTGCCAGTATCAAGATTTTTGCAATCACAGGCTTGATCATTGTCGGTATCGTCTTGTTCTTTGGAGGTGGTCCCACCAATGATATGCTTGGATTCCGTCACTGGGCTGATGGAAACGCCTTCCACGAGCATTTGGTGCCTGGAAGCACCGGCCGTTTCTTGGCTACCTGGACCGCTATCGTCAGAGCAGGTTACTCCTTCATCATGAGTCCTGAGTTGATTGTGGCTTGTTCTGGTGAAGTCGTCAGACCTCGTCGTATTATCCCAAGATGTGCCAACCAGTTTATCTACCGTTTGGCCTTCTTCTATATCATCGGTTCCTTGGTGATTGGTATCATTGCCGACTCCAGAAGTGAGAGACTCATGGGAGAAAGCGGAGATGCCTCTGCCTCGCCCTTCGTGGTGGGTATCCAAAATGCCGGTATTCCAGTCTTGAACCACATCATCAACGCCGTGATCTTGACTTCTGCCGCCTCTGCCGGTAACTCCTTCTTCTATGCGGGCTCTAGAACCCTCTACTCGCTTGCCAAGAAGGGTTTGGCTCCCAAGATTTTCGCCAGAGTCAACAGATACGGTGTGCCCATCAACTGTGTTCTTGTTGTTTTCGCCGTGGGCTGTTTGGCGTACTTGAACGTCTCCAGTTCTTCCTCGGAGGTGTTTGCCTGGTTTTCCAACATCTCCACCATTTCAGGTTACATTTCCTGGACCACCGCTGCATTTGCCTACACCAGATGGAGAAAGGCCATCAAGGCCAGGGGTCTTGAGAGCAGAGTGCCTTACAAGACGCCCTTCCAGCCATACGGAGCGTACTTTGTCATGAGTTTTGTCATCTTGGTCACCCTCACCAACGGATACGCTGTGTTCTTCGAATTCAACATTGCTGACTTCATCGCCGCCTACGTCACCTTGCCCATTGTTCTTGGCCTCTACGTCGGCCACAGATTGTACTCGTACTTCTGGGTGGGCCGCAAGAGATGGCTCAATCCTTTGGACGAGTTTGACTTCACCAAGTTGGAGATGGTCGAGGAGGAGGAGAGAAATTATATCCATCCGATCCCCAGAAACGTGTGGGAAAAGGTCCTTTTCAAGATCTTCTAGATGCCACGAGCCACGAGCCACGAAATAGTAAACGATTCATTAAGCAAGCTGTAGCATGTAGGTTGGGGTAGCCTGTCAATGCCCCGCAAATATTCTTGAGCCCCTTGCTATGTGGTCCCATTATCTGGCACCTGAGCATGGAGGGAAGTTCTCGGCGACGCATATTGCAGGGCGTTGTTGGGACATTTCCGTGAAAAATGCTTCTGGATTGGCACTTGCTTCTAAATTAGGGTTGCCGGGTATGGAAGTTTTATTGCTGTTGGCAAGCGTCATTTTGCGTCTGGGTTGAGTCATCTGGGACATCTGGGAAGCAAATGGATCAACGAAAGAAAATTGATGGATGTAACAAGTTTGCTGTTGCATGGGGGCCGGGGTCGCCTTGAAGGTGCATGATTCTCCAGCTTTCTTGGTAGTCGCCTTATGCCCCAGAATTCCGAAACTCTGTAGACTCCATCAAGCCCTCGCTTCTCTACACCTCTCTGAACGAGCAGTATTTGGGTAGCCAGCCTGAGGAGCAGCCTTGATCACGATGCTAGATTCTGCCCCCAAGTCCTCTAATTCCCATTCTTTCCAAGCGCATCTTCCGTCAAAAGCACCCTGTTATCGTACCTCGTCAAACCGCTGAACAACGCCTTAACATCAGCATCTCTACATCTAGGCAACAATTCCTTCACGGCCTTTCTCGGGTACTCGTCGTACCGGAACTTCACAAAGTGGTACTCTTCGCTGGCCATCTTGGCCCAGTACAACTCGCTCAGCTGGTCTGTCACCGTTGGAGTGCCAAAGTTCTTGAACAACCCTCGAAGCAAAACGAAATCGTTGAGTTCCGGCATCTCCTCTCGCTCGTCGTCATCAACCACGCAATTCACCGGCTTTCCATCCTTCGAGTACAAGTACAGCACGAGTATGCCCAACAGCCAGAGGTCCACCTCATATGAGTAGTCTGTCACGCCAAAACAGAGCTCTGGCGGCTTGTACCAGCCTGTAGCAATATCTCCGACTTTTTCGTTCCACGGTTCCAGCGCCGGCGGGGTGTCCACAGGGTACGAAATGCCAAAATCGCCCAAAACCGGTTGGAATCCATCGCTGATGAACACATTGGCTGGTTTGATGTCACGGTGGATGATGTGGTTTTCGTGGAGGAATTGAACAGCCTCGGCTAGGCCAAACAGAATTTTCCGACACGCGTCCAAATCTAACGTGTTCTGCTCCTGAAACTTGTTCTTGGATGGATCCTCCAAGTTGAACTTCATTTTCCGTTTCATGCTCTGCTGCACCAACGAGACCAAATCTGTTTCGTAATATGGCATCACAAGCACGTCATCTTCACCATTGGGCTCCTTGTAGGCGTCTATAAACGGCACAATGTGGGGGTTCTTCTTGTCACTGAGATCTCGTAGAATCTTCACTTCTCTTCTGAAATCGTGTGGTTTTCTTACGAAATCAAGATCCACTACCTTGAGAGCCACACGATTACCTTCCTGCAGTTGTCCTTCGTAGACGTCACATGCTGGACCCAGGTACACCTGTTTGATCCGCTTATACATGATGGAGTAGTAGGTGCGCGATATCTGATAATGGATGTAGAAGTAGGAGGAGGGTGATGTGCAATTATAGCAGAATTTGAGGAGAGTAGAGAAAAGGAAAGATAGTAAAATTGATGCAACTTGGATTATTATGTTCGGAGTGGTGTCTCTGTGATTGTCGTGTGCTGTGATGAGCTTGTCTGTGGAGGCTTCAGGTGTTTGCAGCCATTGCCTGGTGTACTGAAAGATGGGTACATTAGGGCGATTTTGAGCGGCTTTGTTGTGGGACAATCTGCTGTGCTTCAATTGAGGATGTTGATCGGGTGGTGGTAGATAATGCTGTTAGGTGGGATGGAGGATGGATGTCTCTTGCAATTGAGCCATGAAACGGTCTAGAAGGGTGGATGGATGTCTCTTGATGGTGGGCTGTGAGCTCTAAGACCTTCAGCAGTATACCAATTTGTCATCTTCTCGGTCCTGTAACGTCTTTTCATCATTTTATCGAAACCAAGACTAGGACAAATTGCACATCCTCCCTTACCAGCTCCACCAAAGCAAATCTTCTCCTCACCTCCCCAGAAGCCCTACCCCCTCTGCCTCTTCCGCGACGCTCCGTCGTCGTAGTGTCTCTTGTTGTTGAAATTATTGTTCTGTGCGGTGATGTCGATATCGTCCGTGAAGATCCTACGCTTTGGGTACTTCACATTCAAGCCCTCAAAAGCATTTTCCTTGACTAAAGGCGCCTCGAGGAAATACGGATGCACAAGCGCCCCGTCCGCAGATACTCTCGTGACAGGGTCGTAATGAAGCAAGTCTCGTAGCAATGTCAAACAGCCCTTGCTCTTCCCGCCAATCATCTTGTACCAGTTGCTGAGATTGGGCGGGTATGTGGCTCCCTTTTGGAGGAAATGCTGCTGGAATGCGTAGTAGTCGGGATACTTCGGGAGACTGGGCCACTGCTCTACTGTAGGTGTGCCCAAGATCTCAAAGATTTTCTGAAGCTGGTTCTTCTGGAACGGGATCAGCTTTTTGTTGCTCATGTCGAACTTTGCCTCTTCACCTTTGAAGATTGGCCTGAGCGAGAGCAATTCCGCCAAAATGCAGCCCACAGCCCAGAGATCTATAGCTGGAGTGTAGTGTCTCGTACCGAGGAGAAGCTCGGGGGCCCTATACCAGATAGTGACCACAACCTTGTCGCCAGTGTACAAGCTCTGGAGCGGATTGTTGAACTTTCTGGCGAGACCAAGATCGCCGATTTTCACCACTCCGTCGCTGGAGACCATGATGTTCGCCGGTTTGAGGTCTCGATGGAAAACCCAGTTTTTGTGGAGAAACGTCACGCCATTGAGCACCTGCCAGATCAACGACTTGACGGTGGTTTCGGGAATCGGCTTCACGTCCGGATGCAGATGGTAGTGGATGATCTGGAGCAAGTCGTGCTCGAAAAACTCAAACACCATGTAGATGGACTTGCTCTCGAGCATGATCTCCATGAGCTTGGTGATGTTCTTGTGGTTGAGCTCTCGACACAAGGACATTTCTCGGATCGCCGACTGGGAGATCCCCGTATAAGCACCGCCTTCGTTGTTAGCACCCAAGGCATGGGCCATACTGGAGTGGTTGTCCAGCTTGAACTTCTTGATGGCAAATAGCCTGTGATCTTCCACCGTCTCCTGTTTCTCTAGCTGCCGGCCCATCTCCCCTAGATCATCGGAGCTGCTGTTCTTTCCCACCTTCAGCTTCGCCTTGTACACTTTTCCGTACGTTCCGGCGGCAATGTACCCGATAACGGTGTAGTTTGAAAGCACGGAGTTTCGGCTCAAGTCCTTTCGGTGCCTGTACGGTCCTAGCGTCAAGATGGAGTTCAGAGCCATCATGGTAGGCTGAGGTAGCTGCATGGAAGAAGCGGAAGTCGGGGCATTGGGCACGTTGTTGGTGGAGTAGTACGGCTGTGGGAAGTTTTGGCCTGCACCGGGCCTATTTAAGCGGGACACGCCGTGGGGGTACATAAAATGTGGAGTTTTTTGGAGATATGGGGTTTAGTTGATGGAGTAGCAGCTCTCTGATATCGCTGTGCTGCACAGTACTGGCTGCGAAAGAGGTGACTTTGGAGGTATACGGGTGGATGATGATTTGGATATCTTTTGTTTTTTGATAAAGGGGGGGGAATGGGGTTTTGGAGATTTTATGGTGTTTTTGACTTTTGTTGAAATTTGGGTTGGGCGGTTTTGGTGGTGTGTTGATAAGATAGCAAGGCTGCGCAGAGATAGTAGATGGCAGAATGAGCCAGTGGGGGTGTATCAATATTGATGTGAATTAGACTTTTTATTGATGATTTAAATATACTCGTCTGTTTGAGAAATCGGTATTTTGAGGAATCGAGGAAGGTGGATTTTGTTCGGTCAATGGGCTTACATGCCTCATTAGTAGAAAGTCAAGATCTCAAAGCATGACACACAGTACCACTGATTACCGACTTCGATCACGAAGATAACTCGCCTTTTGGAGTTTCGCTGGATTTTTAACAATTTACCAGAATTTAACAATAAATCAACTTAGCCGATTTATCATCCTTCAATTTGTGGTGTGTTCTTGAATTCGCAGCCATTTTGTAAGTGCGGTTGATTCTGAGGTCAGTGGTGTGAAAGAGAAAGTATACGGTTCACATAGAGATTGGAAATAATCACAGATCAAGGTTAAACATAAAAACAACGACACAAATGGCTGCCTCTTTCACTCTAGAGTAACTCACATAACCTCACCAAAAGGCGCATGATCTGTACTGGTCGAGTCGAGTGGCAGTGGTACTGATCAATACCTTTCAAACAAAATCAAACATAAAAAAAAAAAAGTGGAACGGCCCATTCCAGGGGCTCAATTGATTAATCGATTCCTGGAGTTCCTGATGGTGCTGACGAAGCTGACAAAGCTGCTTAATTTTGAGGCGTTTCTCTTCCTTCTTCTTCTCTTCCCTCTCTCTCCTGCCTCTCTCTCTCCTGCCTCTCTCTCTCCTGCCTCTCTTTTTCCTTCCTCTCTTTTTCCTCAAGACTTACTAATTTAACACAACCTGTGGTGAATGCTCCGATGAATGCACCACCGATATTGAAGAGCTCTTTTTCAGCAAGCCACTTTTGCAGATAAGCTTCTGGCGTTTGGCGCTGAAGGCATCCTCCTGCGATAAAGCATACAAAGAAAGCGAGGGCGTAGAAGCCGAGCAAGATGCTCAAGAATCTTTTATTCTTCATCAACAAGACGAACGCCTGCAAGAATACCATGAAAAAGATCCAAGCATTCGATTGGGAAGACTCTTCTTTTTCCAACTTTTCTTTCCTGTGATTCATTGATACGTCACATCTCCAAGAATGCTGTACACTTTCCCAAATTTGCTTGCGACATTGCTGCTTCATCCGCTCCTCGAGCTCTTCGAGCAGCAAGCTAGAAGTAAAGTATAAAGAGATACTCTGCCTCCGCTTCATAACAATCAACATTTTGTCAAAACCGCTCTCGACCATGATAAAGTAACTATTCCAACTTTTGACCGTGTCGAAATCGCAAAAATTGTTTGCAGTAGTATCATTCAAGAGCTTCTCACCTTCTCTCAATATCCGGCCGAAATTCTCACCTTCTCTCAATATCCGGCCGAAATCTGAATCAACTTTACGAAATCGCATTGGATTGGGAAACTTTTTTGGCGACATAATGGATTCGTATTCCTGAAGAATGGATTTGATGTTGTCTATATTACCGGAGTAGTTAGGAACAAGTTTCTCGTAAGCAAAGTAATCCAACTTCTTCCATTCTTCGTCTGATTGAATGGAAGTATAAGCTTTGTAAGTAATCCCACCACAGGTGAGGTATCCCACAAGACCGAGTACAAGAAGCACGATGTTGATAACGGTTGCTCTTCGTTTTATGAACTCGATGAACAGCATTTTACTGGATTTCAACTTTGTGGATGTGGAAATGTGAAAAAGACGTGTAGTTGTTGTTTTCGTGGCCCCCCTGGAAAGGCGCTTTTTGCAGCCAGTTTCAGATCTGCCTCAGGAGCACCCCTAAACCAGCCATGCCTAAACAAGCACTTATGTACTTTATTTTATTAAAGCTGAAACTTTTGTTCAACCTTTTTTTCGAATAGCATGTCTGCGGTATTTAATTGTTGCAGAATCGGTGTGGTTGGCCCTTGAAGACGAACTGGTTCATGGCTGGTGTCCAGCATTCCGAGAAAGCACTCAATTTAGTAAAAGAAGCTATGAAGTCAATTATATTGAGAATTCTAGGCTAAAAAAGTTCAATTCAATTCAAGAAAGCAATCTAGTGGACAGAGTTTTGGGCTGAGGAGCTCACCTCTAGTTCTCGGTTCCTATGAGTGATCAACAAACAAGGGCAGCTTCAGAAAGCGGAGCACTAATAAACTTAATGGATCAACTGTGCCATCATTTCCGTTGAAACTATCATGAATTCCTCTTGGATGGTTCCAGGGGGTATTCTGGGATATAAATGGTTCCCCGTTCAGTGTTGTGAACGACAACAAGATTACTAAAAGAGGCATAGGAATAAGAAGAAGAACACAACTAGTCCCCTATCTGATTCCGAAAGCCTACATTCGCCTCACTGGCACCTCCGAAACAAAATCAAACATTAAACAAAGTGAGGGCTTCATCTATGAAGTAGAAGCTCGACATGCTCTCGCTCAGCCTGCCCTCTGACGCTGCTGCTGCTGCTGCTGCTGCTGCTGCTGCTGCTGCTGCTGCTGCTGCTGCTTCCGTGGCTTTTGCCATTTGTTCTTCTCGTCTCTGTCGCTTTTTTTTTTTTTATTCTCTCTCTTCTCCGTCTTCTCTTCCTTTTCTTTCCATCAAAAAGGGGGAATTAAATACTCGCAAACCAAGACGAGAGCTGCTGTAACGAATCCACCGATAAAAGAAAGCTCTTTTAATACAAGCCAGTTTGGCAGGTATTCTTCTAGTGTGGAGGTGCTGAGATATCCAGCCAGGATTCAACATACACTGTAAGCCTAGGTGTAGCGGCTTAGCAAAAAGCACAATAATGCCATAATACCTTTCACAATCAAAAACACTAAGCAGTAAGCAGGTTATAAGAGAGATCAAACGGAAGTGTTCAAAGAATCGGCCATCCGATCCCTCCTTTTCTTGTACCACATTGAGCCATCACATCTCAAAGAGTATTCCCCATATTTCATTTAAACCTATTCTCCTTCTCTTCTCTTCATAAAACACCATCGCTTCATTTATCCTACTGTGGTCTCTCGAGGATGGCAGCCGGACATAGCTGTTCGGTAATTCTCACTGAATGATTGTGTCATCCGGCTCGGTAACTAGTAGTATCGAGGACCAGGTGAATTCGTAGTTGCGTCCCAACAAAGAAAAGAACAATGTTCCTTTCAACTTGGTGCTGCGGGAGTAAGACATTTCCATCAGAAACAGGTTCACGTCCCTTGGAATGCTGATATCGAAGACATGAGCAGGGATGGAAATGGCACGAGCATGAGGACTGCCGGGAACTTCATCTTGGAATGATCTCCACAGAAAACCACAACCTCTCTGGTATCTGAGATCCTTACTGAGCAAAAGTGTCTCTCTTTTGTGATTACAACCACTGTGGCATTCACGGTTGATATAACGAATTTCGATCCGCTGTAGATGAAACAAGATTTCTCGCTTCAAGCCATTTCTTTGGGCCTCCTCGAAGCTTATCGGAAGCACAAACTTGATATCAAACACATCACATAGTTTCGTTCCTGGGGTCGCAAGAAATGTATCGTTCCACCTACACTGCCTTTCAAAGTGACCACCAGCAGGCCGGCCAAGATAAACTGCTAGTGGGAATTGCTCATCTCCTATGGAGTAGAAAGAAACGCAAGATGCTCTTTGGAATCTTCCAAAATCGATATTCGAGAGGTTTCCAGCAACCTGTTTGCCGTGCATCATACACACTGCAAGATAGGGTTTTTTAGTAGTTGAGCTTTCGCCGCCGTGGATGGGCCGGTCTATTATTTTTACGGCAAGGTGGGTCCCTTTTCTATCTGGCTTTGCCTCAAAGCAATCGTTGCGTTCAATCTTCTCTCTTGGCTTCCAACCTGCCGAGGCTTCCATACCCAAGTACAATACCGCCCGAGTACCACATTGCCATAATCGAAGCAGATATCCAGAGAGTTCTGGCTTGCTGAAACATTTGCGATATGTCTCCAAAATGCCTTTCATCTCGGCATTAAGCTCAAAGCTTCTCATGAGGTAGCGCTCTGGAACATCGGCCCTTCGCCCAAGATACCTTTCGTCGTTGGTAGCATCGCTTTGCTTGATACGCTCAGCCTTCACCTCCGCCATATTCAACTCGAAAAACGACTCCAAAGCGGTTTCGGGGTGGCTTTTGCTGCAGAGTGTGATGTGCGTTTTCAAGCCATAGCTTCTTGTGAACCCTTGGCATGAGAAACTGGGACCCACCTCGGGTAATTTACAGTCGTACACTTTCTTTGGAATCTTGAATGGTGTTCCAGAAGCAGGAAGAAAGTCATGTATCTCATTCTCAAGCAAAGTCTTGTTCCTCACTTCCTTGTAAAACTTCCCATGCCTCCACACACAAGTGAATTCCTGAAGCTCAATCAGTATTCTCAAGAGATTGAAGGACATGGCAGAATTCAGATCGACCTGAAGCTGTAAAAGGAGAATGTCTGGAATGGCCGTTCCGGGTGTCACAATTCGATGATACTCTCTTTGGGTGAACCAAGAGGGCTTTGCATAGTCGGCCTTGAGAGTTACAGAAACATCTTTACGGATGCTGTGTTTCGATTCAGAGGTAAACTCTGACCCAACTCCAAAAACCAGGTGAGTCATCGGGAACTTTGGGCCTAGAAGTATCTCCCTGTCGTCTCCCATTGCTATGAAGCAGCCACCAATAATCGGCATGGGCATTTCATAAGAACACCAGTCGAATGTGATGAAAGTTTGACGAACTTCAAAAACAGCTTTCAACTTCTCCGGATGGGGGCCCGAACCAAACGATGCAACGCCGTTCTCGAGTCGTGCTTCCTTTAAAACTCCACCTACGTCATCAAGGTGCTCTTCGGATGCCACAAAGTGTAGCTCGGTGACTTTTACAAAATTGTCGTGGATTTTGCAACAAACCTCTTGAAACGTATACCAGGGTCCATCCAATTCGCTTCCAAACTCACTTGCTATCCGCCGACCATCACCTCCCAAGTTTTGGAAGACGAATGTAGTATCTAGTTTCAACGGAAGGTGTGTCTTTTTGGTCGTTTCGGTCTCTTCAGACTTTTCGGTCTTCTCAGACTTTTCGGTCTCTTCAGACTTTCCAGACTTTTCGGTCTTTTCAGACTTTCCAGACTTTTCGGTCTCTTCAGACTTTCTAGACTTTTCGGTCCCTTTTCGAAACTTTTTGAATTTCTGGATTAACCTTTTCATCAGCAGACAAAGAACAGAGCTAAACTATCGACTTCATGCGATAATGGCACATCACAGCGGATATGAAGCAATTTTTGTAGAAGGCAAGTGAAACCAGAGGGGTCATTCAAAAACTATTCAAAATTATCTGTCTTGTACAAGCTGTGCCTTCCTCTTCGGGAGGTACCAGGGTGATCGATGGTCGTCTAGTTTCTGAAAACTCAGTCTCTTGAACACTACTAACCATGGATCGCCTCTGCCAGTTACTTTTTGCCCTTATGTTTATCCAAGTGGTACAACCACTGGCTACACTCACATCCAAAGCAATCGTAATTATCGTAAAGTCTAAATTGCCACAGCAGATTGTCGGATGCCACTGTCGGGCCTCGACACTCGTCGCTGTTTGTCGCCTTTCATGGAATAGAATACATACTCCTTTGATCTACCGACCGAGGCTAGAAACCCCCATCAGCAGAATATTAGTTCTGATCGGCATTGTCTGACCATCGAAAGAACCTCCGCCTTTCCGACGCCTTTATAAAAATCCGCATGAGCCATATCCCATGTTAGCACCACCGGGGCACTCCGCTTATCAGTGGTCCTGCTTTTGTCTGCCGGTCCAGTCCAGTGTTTCTCTGAAATTGCTGTGGCTAAAGAAAACCGTAGTCAGCATTCCTCCCTAATTCCCATACTCCCTGTCGTCATCCTTACCCTCGAGCTCTCCTCTGATGGCCTCCATCTTTCTGGTCTGCTCCTTCCACTCCTTCTCCTCGGCGCTCTTGTCGGTGTCCTTGGCGAACAACGAGTCCTCGGGTCTTCTGTACGAGCGGCCCAAACGGTCCCACAAGGTGGTGAACTGACCGTAGTTGTAGTTGAAGTACAAGTGGTGCACCGTGTGGCAGGCGGTACCGTTCACCACAGGGTCGTTCAGCATGTACTGGCCGTCGTGGATCATGACGGTCCAGAAGTTCACAAACGTGAACAAAAGAAGGTACGACACCTTGTGCAAGGGGAACACCAATGGATAGAGGTGGTATGGCAACGACTGGAACCAGCCGTCAACAGGGTGGAAGGCGTGGGATGCAAAGGGCGTGCACACGATCCACTTGTGGTGGGGCTTGTGCAACTTCTTGTAGACCGAGGGCCAGTGGAGCCATCTGTGGATGAAGTAGATGCCGCAGTCTGTGAAAAGAATGAAAAAGGGGAACTGCAAGAAAATGGCCTTCCAGCCGCCTGTGGATTCGTTGACTGAAAAGTACAACTTCGAGAAGCCGTTGAGCTCGGCCAAGAAGAAGGGCACCGTGAGAAGCACCATCACTGGGATAGCCGTGGAGGCTCTGTAGATCTCCAACGACACCTGGTTCTTCAAGAAACGAGGGTGGTTGAAGATCTTCTTGTCAAACACGAAGAAGTACGAAAGCGACGCCACGGAAAAGTACAAGAGCCATCCAAACACCGCCGTGATAACAAAGATGGACAAGAACTCACGCACCAAGTTGCTTCTCAGAAGCATCGACGCGTGGGTATATTCGTCAAAATCGAAGAACTGTGGGAAGTGACCATAGACCTCGTCTTTTCTCTGGAGCTTACCCGCCATGGAGGCCAAGTAGGTCACTGGAGCCGGGATGCCATGTGTTGTGGTTGCGTTTTTGGAACCAAAATGGCTATTGAAGTACTGAGCCACGGCACCGTCCTTGGGCAAGGCCTTGGCGTAGAGCTTATCGAGGACAAAGGAGTCTGCGATTTCCAACACGAGATCCATTGGGGTTTTGGCGAACTTTGGAAGAAAAGCGTGGGTTATAAGTACTCAGGCCTGGCGGGTATATGGGTGCGTTTTTTCGTTTAGAAACGAGCTAAACGAGCATCGTCCGACTCGGTGGTGGGCCGCCTGTGTGCAGGTCCCGAGATGCCCCTGGTTGTCCTGAAATTCCCCGTTCCGACGGGGGAGGGACATGATTCCGGTGGAACGCCCATGAACCCAGGCTCTTTAAGTTGATGTTCATCCGATTTGGGGGCCCAATTCTCCGGCGGACGTCGGCCCGGACGGATTCCGAAGAATTTTGGTGGTCACGTGCATCTGTCCACGTGACCTGTCAGCCCACTATCTCTGCCATCTCTGGGCCCATTCCGGCGTGTACGAGGCGTGGCCCCATGCGGCCTTCACTGTAGACATCTAATTAATATCGGACACCCGTACACCCTGAAATCCGTTGCCATGCGTACACAAAGCACCTTGATCTGGCGCCATGCGCTGACAGGGAGATTCGTATACGGAGAGTTTGGATTATTTGATGTTTTGATTTTTTGATATTTTTATATTTTATAGAGATAGGGTGATGGAGGTGAACGATTTTTCTGATTAAATTTTAAAACTTGGAGCAGTTGGTGTAGGCCCTTCCTCGACCAACCCACCCATGCACAGCAATTATTGATTTGAGACACAAAGCGGTGGAACCGGAGGTGGCAACTTTTCAGATATTCAAAAGGTCACTTTTGCAGATGATGAAATTGCCGTTATGCCCCTGACTTGACCTTCCCGATTGGGAAGGCGTGTTCGTTTGGCTGCAAAATGGCCTGTTTCTGCAAAGCCAATGAAGAAGCACAGAATGGGAATTGGAAAAGCTCAGGTGACCGCTGGGGAGTATGGGGAGGCTTTAGGTGAAATGGGGAGGTTTTGATTGGACGGTTTTGACGGTCTGTAGTGGATGTTTTGTGGGATTGCATGAGGGATGTCGGTATAGGTTGTAGGCTGAGAAGCGCAGGTAATGCCATGTTCGTGGTTTGTTTGTTGAAACTAAAATAAGCTCATGCTTTTGGGTAGTTTATGCTTTTAGGTTTTTGTTTGTTTGTTGTTGCAGAAGTTTAGTTTCAAAGTGGCCCGATGTCAGAACTTTAGTTCACTATCTCTGATGGTGTATCTGTTAGATCGATGAGTATAAACCAGATAAATGTGTTCCTCATTTTCCAAAAAAATATTCAGTTTTCTTATAAGATTCGTAGGTTTAGTCACTTCTCTACCGTTTTCACCCTTACTTTATCAAAATTCATAAAAATGCAATGTGACTAGCTTCCGTTTAGCACCTAACTGGGTGCCTCGTAACCGAGATGCATGTTCCCCTGACTCTCCATGACAACCACTAAGCATAAGAGGTCTAGAAATAAATAAGCTTTTTCAGAAACACTTTAATATTTTGGGCTAGTGTAATCTCGCTTGATTTACCTAAAGCACCTTCGATCCTATACTAATCCATATACTGCTCATCAGTTGAAAAAATCGTATCCATGCACTTTTAGAGGGCTTTTTTAGTCTCATCGGTGCATCTCCAGGCTTTGCATCTCCACATCTCCAGGCTCTACATCTCCAGGATTTCCTGTAACCTCACTTTACCCACCTCTTTCAAAGCAGTCTACAATACACTCATCGATCATTATGATGTCATTAATACACACGATTCCATAGTAAAGAATCCCAAATAAACGTTAAGAAGAAAGTCAATAATGCAAGGTGGACCGGCTCTATGTGGGGGTCGCCAGTCCGTTGAACGACACAGGCTGGGGAAGCCTGCCGTGCAGATTTATGCAATTAATGAAAGCCGAGCGGTCAGCTTCCACGAGGGAGCCTGTGGCTCGTTTAAATAGCGTTGGTGGCTGGAGCGGTGCCAGGGGCTCCGTTCAGCGGCCGCTGGTTGATTTTTTCGTAGTTGATGCTTTTCAAGATGTCTCTGCCGCCCTTGGCGATCAAGATCTGGGCGAGCTGCTCGCCAATCTCCTCGGCTTCGGCTTTGTTGGAAACGAAGCCCTTGACCTCGCCTTCCACGTACTCCTCGCCGTTGGGGCTGACAATGATGCCTTTGAAGTCGAGCTGCTGGGTCTCCTCGTCGTATTTCGTGCTGACGCCCAAAGGAACAGAACAGCCGCCTTCCAAGATACGCATTAGCGATCTCTCGGCGGTGCAGCGGAGGGCCGAAGGCTTGTGTTCCAATTTGCTCAAAACTTGCTGGACAACCAAGTCGTCTCTTCTGATTTCCACGCCCAAGGCGCCCTGGCCCACAGCGTGGTACATCTCAGGAGCATCCAAGGCCACGTCTATGCGGTGTTCCAAGCCGAGACGGATCAAGCCGGCGGCGGCCAAAAGGAGACACTCGTAAGGGCTCTCTGGGTCGTCGAGTTTCGACAAACGGGTGTAGATGTTGCCACGGACGTCCTGGAAGCGCAAGTGGGGGTAGTTTTTCAAGAGCTGGGCAGAACGACGCACGGAAGAGGTTCCGACAACAGCGCCCTTGGGCAAGTCGCTGAGGTTCTTGTAAGGAGAGCCCTTCTTCATGACAAGGGCATCACGGGGGTCTTCTCTCTCCAAGATGCAACCCAACTCAAACTCATCGGGCAAGTTGGTGGGCATGTCCTTCAAGGAGTGGACAATCAAGTCCAACTTTGGGTATTCGTCGACGGGCTCCAAAAGCAAGATTTCGAGCTCCTTCGTCCACAACAGCTTTCCGCCAAACGAGTAGAGCGGCTTGTTTTGGATCTTGTCGCCCAACGTCAGAAGCGCCAAAACCAGGCAGTTCAAGTGGTGGTGGTGGCGTTCGATCTCGGCCTTGACGATCTCCAGCTGGATTACCGCCAACTTGGACTTTCTGCCACCAATCTGGATATGGTTATTGGGCACGTCGAGCATGGGCATATTCTCTGGGCCGGTGTTGTGAGGCATGGACGATGTTTTGACGGTGATTTTGGAGAAAAAGGAATATTGGTGGTGGGGTGGTGGGTGCTTTTTTTTTTTTTTTTTTCTATGAAGTCGGTGCTTCTTTTCTCATGTGAGAGCGAGGGAAGAGGGTGCTTAAATAGAAGAAAACGGTCGTCTGGCGCGGGGGGAATGGGCCACTAGGAAGGCAGATATTACTGATGAGCATATCCACATGAGCCGGGGTGGAAAAACCCCACAGGCACGGAAAAAGAAATAAAAGAGAAAAGTATAAAAGGGGCCGTATTTCCGCCATGATTCTGTAGTTTTTTTGTTTTTCAGTGGTTCGTCTTGGTGTTTTGGGCCGGTGGTACGAATGGGTGCAACATGTGAGAGGGTGCGAATCGGCCCAGGCATCTCAGCCAGTGGGGCTGCGGTGAAATACAATAAAGGGAGAGGGTGGGTGGTTTTTTGTTTTTAGTGGTTGTTCTAATTTTTGAAGGGTTGTTGATTTTTGGTATTTGACGGCTACGGACTTTCTCCGCTGCTTATCTCCAGCTTGGCGTGGCTGCAAACATGTGAGGTCTTAGTGAGCCTGCCTTAGTGAGCAGGCCTTACCTGAATAAGCGATACGGCCTGGACACATAGTAAGACAAAGACAGACAAAGACAGGCACGACGGCATTCAGGCAAACCGCAATCAGTAAAACGAATTCCACCTTGAACGTTTTTCTCACATTCTCATCCGCCAAAACCACTCTTGTAGATCATCTCCATCTGTCAGATCAAAATGGGCCCTTTCCATTCGCCAAACCGCCAGGGCGTGGACACAAGTGCCCCAATAGGCATATTTGCGCGAGACAAGGACGCAGAGGCTCTTAAACTTGACAGAAAAGCAATGTGCAGCCATAGGCAGCGGCATTTGACGTGGTGAGGCGGATTTGAGATTCTTTTGATTCGCTTGATTTGGAGTTTGTGGATTGCATTGTTGGCGGTGTTTGGAATGCATTGAGCTGGTGCCATTGGAGACTTCCTCGGCTGCGAAATGGTGGCTTTCCATCAAATAGACAGTGAAGGCTCAAATAGAGTTTGGATGACTTAGAAGCAAACGGCCTGGTTGCTCGGTCAGGCTCCGAAACTCTATTGTGTATCTAGAAAGTTACTTTGGAGGGTGTCCTAAAGGAGCATGCTGTGGCTTGCTCCGAGACCGGATCGAGCCCTTCTACAAAAGCTAAGCATGATAAGCATGAAAGCAAATTGCTAAGCATAGAATAAGCTTATTACGCTTAGAATGGAAATTTCGTCATTCCATAAAACCTAGAGCATAAGTGCTTTTTGTTGCTCGTTGCTGATAAGACATCAGTGTTGCAGCCAGTCAAGATGAGCATAGATAATGGACGTAAGTGGATGACCGGACTGTGCAAACCGGTGCCGTCGGCTTCCATGGCAGCGTCATGGAGTTTTGTGAGATTTTGTATGGCCTTTTGCGGCAGCCCTTCTTATCTCCATTGGCTCTGATTCACTGAATATCCTCTAGAAGCTAGGCCACCAGGACCAACCCAAATATTCAAAATTCAATTCCACCGAACTTTTCCCTCCAGCCGTCATTTCACTTCACCCCTCCTTCCACGGTTTTTTGTGTTTCACCCGATGGCTTTGATACCCTTTTGGGCGCTTTGAGCAATAGCCGAACCCGGTCTCACTGGAGCCATTCGCAGCCATTTGCTACATTACACACCCAAAGCGTTCCAGACGGACGGCACGGAATGAGCATGAAAGGGGACGATTTTCAGGAGTATTCCTTTTTGGGTCATTTCTAGAAGCATGTGGGACACGGATGCACGTTTTTGGTCCGTCATAGCCTTAGAGTAGTAGATCGTAGGGTCTTATAGTGGTAGCCTTGGTGAGCCTTATCGGCCTTATCACCGCACTCAATCCACCTTAACTTCACTAGTAAAGGACCACCAATGCAATGCTATATTATTATATCGTGCCAAACAGACTCCTCGACATATCACTGTCGTCGCTATTGTCGCTGTTGTCAGGATCACTGTCGCAACTCAAGGCTTCAGTTAAATCGTACATATCTTCTCCACCGCTCTTATACTCCAGACTGACCCGCCCGTCGCCTCCGTATATCATCGCCTCGAGCTGGTTGAGCTTGTCCATCACAGCTGCCAAATCGGCCTTTTGCAGCCGCTTCTTGGGCCTGCTCTCTCCGCTGACTCCTCTGCTTCTCACTCTGCGCCGCTTCTTGCCGTAATTGCCGTACCGTTTGCCTAGAAAATCCTCAAGGAACGCCAGGTCCTCCGAAGCGTTACGCAATCCTCCCAAAGTGTTGATCGAGTACTTTGGAATGAGATGCCGTGGGATCGACGTGGCATGGGTACGATTGTCGTCCTGGGCGCCGAAAATCACGGCATTGGATGCATGCGATATGGTTCTTCCAACCCCGTTGGTGTTCTGTGGCATGGCAAAATGTGACCCTCTCCGGGAATTCATGCGAAGTGTGCTCACGTCTGAATCGTCATCATGGGCTTGTCCAGCCATAACCATATCGCTATCTGCGTAGAAATCGTCCTCTTTGCTTAGGAAAGTAAAATGCTTGAGATCCTTCTGCTGCTTCTGCAAAAGCCGTTTGTTGTCCTTGACGAGAATCTCATACAAGTAGATCATGCTGATGGTGGGCATCTTGAAGACACTCACGATTCCATTGAACACAATTAAGAACGGTGACCTCTGCGGGTCCTTCGAATAGTTCAACTTGCCCCATTTGAGGTAGATGATGAGGTTGGTGGTCTTGATGTATTCAAACTCCTCCTTGTTCTTGAGCGTCACCTCCGTGAATACGTTACTAAGCACAATGGCAAGGATGGTTGCCACGATGAACTGCACCAAAAACAAGTAGGCAAGCTGAACAACCCTGCCCAAGTTGTTGTATCTGTTCCAGTTGTCCCATACAGCTGGGGTGAAGCCAAAGAAAAGCTTCAACATGCTAAATGCAACCTCGTACACGGTCAAGTCTATCGTGAGACTAATGAAGCACAAGAAGAAGCCGAAGATGAGCGACACGAAGAGCGAAAACATCGCTATCATGTAAAGCGACATCTTCTTGAACGACAAGATCATCATGTTGAAGAACTCGTAGTTGTTGAACACCGAAAGCATCCTGGGGAAGAGCAAAATGGGAATCAAGCTGAAGAAATTGTAGTAGACTGTAGCGTCTATTTTCCCAAGGCCAAGTAGCACTCGAAGCACGAAAGAAACGTCAATGAGTGCCACAATCAACAAGTCAAAGTAAGTCCACACGATCTTTTTGAGAAACTTGAACTCGATATGAAGAAGCTTCTGGAGATTATCAAAGTTGAAACTGAGCGCAACTGACCAGAACAAAAACGAGAACAACTTGCTGAACACCGTCTCGCCAACCTCAACAGTCCAATGCTCTTTGTGTCGAAGAACAAGGATAAAGAAGAGGAGCGTAAGGAATGCATATTTGAGGTTGATCACGATGGACTGGTACTTCGGCACAATGTGGGACCGGAACACCACCTTCTTCAACGTGACCTTGTTGTATTTGTAATCGACAATGTTCTTCTCGGACTCCTGCTCCTCTGGAACAGTCGGAAGCTCAAAGTCGTTCTTCTTTTGTGCATTGGACCCTCCTAAGATCCCAAGCCAGCTGTTCTCCTGACCACCTGCCTGTTCCATGATAATAAGCTCACCATTGTAGATCCGCTCCATGATGTGAACGATAACAGGCTGCGACAAAAACTTCTTGGATTTAGTGAGAATGGAAAGCTCGAGCGTGTTGAAACTGTCCAAATGCTTCGTGTCCTTCAAGATCTGGTTTTCCTCGTGGCCATGCCGGAGTCCCATTGGATTGACAAACAACAAGTTGATGCGGCTATCTGAGCGGTATTCTCGAAGCATTCTGATTGCCAAAACCTCGCAGATATTGGCCTTGGTCAGGAGTAAGTCGTACATGACAAAGTTGCTCTCCATCTGGATCATGAACTCGTACCGTAGAAGCAAAAGCACGTATATAAGGCTCGACGACAATGCGTTAGGGCCCTGGGAGCCTAAATTTTGAGATTCTGATTGCACTGAGCCATAAGAAACTGGAGCAAACTGTGGGGTATCAAAAATGTCAAATTGAGCGCCAGAGACCTGGCCATTAAACACAGCTTGCAAGGAAGAAAGTTTGGCTATCTCCACCAACCTCTGTACTATAGGCTTTATCAAAGCCGTTCTGATCTCGGGTGTCCTCATCTGCTCATATTTCAAACTAAGCACCACTTTCTTGTGGATAAGCTTCTGCACCTGAAAGTACAAGTACTTGAACTCTAGGTAGCGGTATTTCGATTTTCCCGCCTTGTCCAACGCCAAAGACTGAAACCTTGGCCCCGTAGGTACCCTGTTTCGAGACATGGCTCTTTAAAATGGTCTGTTGAGTAGGTGTCTGTCCGGAATCGGTGTCAATAGATGACAGGGTGCATCAGTTTTTCGCACCCAATTTGACAAAAGGTAAATATACCTGATCGCGGGGTCTCTTCGCTTGCTGCAAGCTATAAGCACTCCGAAAAAAACAAACCCTGATAGCCTAAAAAATAACCGTTATCTCACCGTTATCTCACCGTACATACCGGTTCACGAAATTGTAAGCCTTGTTGCCGTTTTCTTCTCCTAGCATTTCGTGGAGGTCTTTTTTGCTGAGCGACACAAATTCCTTGATGTTTCTGATCCTCAGAATCACCGTAGTGTAGTTGACATTGTTTATGCCAGGGATGCTCTGGAGAAGATCAATGGCGTCGTCATTGTACATGGGAGGTCCTTCGTTGGTTGAGATAGCAGGATTGACGCCTTTGGCAAGTGCCTCCTCCACATCGGGCTCGTGTTGACTAGCCTTTAGTTCTAGGAAGATCTGAGCGGTTTCGTATGGCGAAGATGACCAGATCACCTTGAGCTTGGGGAAGGAAATGAGGAGCTCCGTGATTTTCAGCTGGATCTCTTTTTTGGAAATCTTGCTGGCGATCGGGTTGGTCGCTTTGAACCCCGGCGGGCGAATTTCGGCAAATGGCTCAAACGAAAAGGACTTGTTTTCGTCAAACTCAATCAAAAGCGTGGGAAGCTCGTAGTGGCGGAACATCTGCTCACACTGCTGGTACAAACGGCCGCTTTTGAAAGATCCAATCAAATCGGGAATCGACTTTCTCTCCACACAGATCTTTGGCGATACCACATAATCACCCACTGTGAGCATGCACGGAATAACCTGGATGCCCACTCTATAAAGCAAGTTTGGTAGCGAAGAGCGGAATTCTCGAGAATCCACAATAACTCTCATCTCGTCTTCCTCCGTGCGGAATTTGGCGCCTCCAGCTATTCTGGTGTTCACCACCTGGGGCTTCCGAAGATGGAACTTCCAGTTCTCTTGTTCTCCAGCAAAACGCTTGCCCAAATTGGCTTTTTCTCTGATGAGACTGGTGAATGCCAGCTTCTCCTTTCTGATTCTCATCAAGTGTGTTTGCTCCTCGACAGAGGTGCCGTAGTACATGAAATAGGTCTTGGGCTCAACATTGGCATTGGTGGCATGGTACACCTCCACACGCCTGATGAATGCTAGATCCGGCTCGTACATGATGATGTACAGCGGACACAACTCCTGGAGCAATGTCTCGTTGGTCTTGTCGTTGTAGGTTTCGATGATGACTTGGTTGTACTTTTCGATATGCTCCAAATTGATGGCTGCTGTTCTTATGTGTGGAGACTCGGCTTCAGCGTAGAAGTTTCTGAATGTGTCCTCGGCAGTTTCATCGTGCTCCTTCTCCTCCACCAACTCTGGCTCCTCAAGCTCGTCATTGCTATCGTACTCCTCTTTCACATCCTGCTCCAAGCGGTCGACGATATCCTGCTCTAAGTCCACCGGTCCGGCAGTTTTTTCATAGTCGCTTCCAGAGTGCAATCTCGCCACATTTGCAACCGCAGCTGCTCCACGGGTTCTTCTTCTTTTGCTTCGAGGAACGTTGTTGCCTCTAGTAAACGTCTTACTGGTGTTGAGCTTTTCGTCAGCAGCAGAGTCCGGGGTGCCTTCCCGGCTGTCCTCATTGGCCTTCTCGACCAACTCGGTATTGAGCCTTTTGGTCAACGAAATGAGCTCTTTCCATTGTAGATACTCCCGGAGCTTGCTCACCATATAACCTTTGCACGAGAACCACTTACGCCCTGTAGGCTCGTGAACCTTCTTTTTAGCCTTTGATAAGATGGAGCTCAATTGCTGGGCGGTCTTCAGTGACGAACACATAATGAGAATTGGTCCCTCCGTTTTGGTGTTGTCGAAAGACCGTTCGTGAATAATGTCGTCCACAAGCAACACCAACTGTTCCCATTTCGGAAGCTCCTCCAAATTGTAGACCTCGGTTTTTTCTCTGGATACCTCGGCGGCCTCCTGGCCCTCTTCGGCAGCTTCTGCGGCCACTGTCACTCTTCCTAAAGCACGCTCTTTAGCGTATGACGTGATGGTTGTGCCTTCGTCCATCATAAGCCAGGGACTCATGGTTGTGGCATTCATGGTGCCTGCTCCTGACGATCGAATGTTCGTATCGACAATTCCCTGAACACGCTGGTAGAACAAAAGCGAATCGTCTCGAAGTAGACTTGCCAAAAGCTCCTTAAGTGTGCCCAAATCGTAGACGAGCTGCTTGGACGTCCACGATATTCTGTGCCATTGGGACTCAAGCGAGAGTCTCACTCGTGTGACGAAATCAGTATCATGCAAATTTTCCACATCCCAGTAATCCGTATCTAGAGTGGGGTTGTGTCTCTTGAGCTCTTGAAGACATGCAGTCAAACACGACAAAATTGCCGTTTGAATCTTGGCCATTTTTTTCGATAACTTGACGTTGATCTCGGTCACTGTGCTTCTCATCTTCTGCTTGGACGACCTGAGCATCAACAGCGAAGTCACCTCAACGTGGAACCGAGGCCAGAGAAACACATTGCTCATTCGGAGGTACTTGAGCTTGCTTGCCAAAGGCGTGAACCCTGTGAACGACTCAGGCTCGTCAGATATAGCCTTGACGAAACCCCAATCGTTCTGGTCCCTGTACAAGTTGATGATGAACGAATCGTTCAGCGTTTCCCTGATTTTTTCAGCGTGGAGCACAAAGAAGCCCGTAATGTCCAGCGGTTTAAGAATACCAGAAAGGATATCCACCACCAAGATCCTTGAACTAATACTGAGAACGCCTCCCTTCATGTACATGTCACGACGCTTATTCGTATTAGCAAGGTCGGAGCCTCCGACGACCCGAAGCGCCGGCTCCAATTCGTTTTCTGTATCGTTTCCCGCTACCGCATTCAACCATCGTAGTTCCACCAAAAGGTCGTTCAACTTGACGATCTCCTCCTCGCCGGCGCCGAGCAAAATGACCAAACTCTTCTTTTTCGTGACCGTTTTGCCCCGTTCTAGCGTCACCGACGGCAGACTAAGCGCATAGAGCAAATTGGCAGTAATCACCTCACACCCTAGGCCTCTTCCCAAAATAAGAAGCCCGTCTTTTGCCAACATGTTCTCCACAATCTCCTGATAAAAGCCCAAAGGAAGCAGGCAGCAGACCTCCCTGGACTCGTAGATCGCAGTCACTTCTGCTTTCTCCTCTCTTACCACAGGTATAGAGCCCTCATCGTCCTGGGCCATTGCCCTAGCGTAATGGGCTCTGGTGCGTTCTTCCGATATCTCCGGCTGGTTCTCGGGCTCCACATACTCGGCTTCGATCTCCTCTGCTTTATCTTTCTGCTCTAGTTCTGAGACAATGTGGTCTGGCTCATGGTCATCTGGAACAAAGAGCGTTTCTGCTTTATCGTCGTATTCCTCGTCCTCAGGCACAAACAACAGCGACATGTGAAAGCTTTTTTCAAAAACGGAGCGATCCCAGGCTCAATTGCTGTATCAATTGGCCTCCAAAAGGTGTAGTTGCGGGTGCACTGATTTGGTGATATCTCCCGCATTATCACCAACTCCTACTACATGGTGGACCTACTACATGGTGGAAACAGAATTCAAAGTAGCCGATTACGCCAGTAAAGGCGAGTCTGTGCTACCGCAGGACGTGACGTGTTTTGTCGTGTTTATCGAAGACGTGTCTGAATCGAAGGAAAAGGCCTTGGAGGAATGGAAATACTACCATAACCCGAATCGAGCACCGTTTGAACGCATGGAGCACGTGAGCCGACCGGTGATTTACGGAATCGACTTGGACGAATCGCCCGAGGAGGTCAACAGAAAGATGTCTGCATCGGCGACGTTCAAGCTCACGCTCAAGGACTCCCACGATAACTACTTCTACGGCATCGAGGTCGATAAGCTACCTTTTCTTCATCCACAGGCGTCCCACACAGGCACACCGCTACCGATACCGCTCGGAGGCAAGCTTTCGGTGAAAGCAGGCACCAAAGTGTATAACGGGGTGGTGTGTCTCACGGCACGCCATTGCAACTATTTGGGACACGACGAGAGTCTGCCGCTAGTGCAGCAGCTCAATGCCGGCGTCGTGGAAAAGTACATAGATATAATGGAGCGGCAGCTCGGCGGGGGCTGAGTTCAGAGCTTGTGTGTGTGTAGTCAGTCGCTGAGCAAAGTGGTCCACAAGACGAACTCGTCGGTGAAGTTGTGGTGCACCAAGCTGACCAAGTAGTACGAGCTGTAGATGTCGTTCAACAACTGGAACGAGGCGCTGTCTTTCCTGTAGCAGCGGGCCCACTCGAGCCACAACAAAAACGCTTCTTCGTTCCACGCCTTGAACGACTCATAGTCTATGATGGTGGGCTGCAACACCTCTTTCAGCGGGAACACGCCCCAGGTCACCGCCAGCTTGGAGTTGCTGTTTTTGCCGATGCTGAGCGGTAAGTTCAGCGAAATGTGGCCGCTGGCATCGCCACAGTAGTATGTGATGGTCTTGTCGTCAACCTGGGATGCAAGACGGGGCAACAAGTCGTCGTGCCACTGTTTTTTGGGAATGAAGAACTCCACAAACGATTTCTGGAAAATGTGCCCGTTTGGCGGGCCCCAGCCCAAGATCTTGTCACGGGACGAGCAGCTGTTGACGGCTGGCTGCGATGCCAACGTGAACCAGCCTCTCTCGTTGAGCTCAAAGAGCTCCTCCTGGATCAATGCGGTCTCGGGCGAAAGCTCGCTGTCAGCCCAAGGCAAAACGTTGATTTTGTTCGAGAGGTAGTCGACGAAAATCTTGGTGATATCGCTGACGCTCTTGGGTTCGCCCCAGGTCTCCTCCACCTCTTTGTTCGAATGAAGCTTCAAGTTGGGCCCGTAACCGTCGATTTCACCGTAGGCGGGCGAATTCGAGTCACCAAAACGACCGTTGGTGAACTCGTCCCACGTGGCGTCTTTGCCCAAGGCGCCCTTGCCTGTGGAAATATCCACAATTGCCTTGGGGTCTTTGGAAAGCGCTTTAGAAACCAAAGCTCTCTTGGCCTCTGCAACGCCAGGCACAGCAACCAGGTTCTCGTTGACAGACGACTTTCTTCTGCCGTTTTTCTGCGGCACCACAGGCAAATCGTCGTCGGAATCCGACGCTATGGCATCGTCGTGCTGCACCAGCTGGTTGTGAGGAATCATGTTCTGCAACACCGGCAGCCTGTTGATGATGGACGCCACGGCCTTCTCCAAGTTGAGCGTGTAGAAGTGGTAGCCACGGACCCGTCCGTTTGTTCTGGCGTCGATTTCCAGAATCATCTTGGTCAAAACGTCCAAACCGATCACCTTGACCATATCGTCGTCGTTGGCGTGGGCGTCCAAGTCGTCCAAAATGGCCTTGGGCACGCTGGCGTGCGAGAGACGGGTGGATCTGATGAAAACCCGGTACGTGGTGATGGGCATGAGGCCGGGTATTAGCACGATGTTCTTCAACTGGGGTGTTTCCTGGAGCAACTGCTCGTACGCCACAAACTTGTCAACATCAAAGAAGAGCTGTGTCACCACATAATCAGCTCCAGCCTCCACCTTCTCGATCAAGTACGGCAAGTCCTTGCGAGGATCCTGGTCCAGCGCATCAGCACCCTCCACATGGCCTTCTGGGTATCCAGCCACACCAATGCAAAAGTAGTCGCCGTGCTGTTCTCTGATAAACCTCACCAAGTCCACGGCGCTGTTAAAATCGCAGTTTGGCGTCCAGTACTCCTCGGCTCTAGGAGGATCGCCTCTCAAGGCCAAGATGTTCTTGATGCCAGCCTCCCTGGCTCTCTTCAACGCATCCTCGATGATCTCCTTGTTGGTGTTTGTGCACGTCAAGTGCAACACGGTGGTCACGCCAAGCTCCTTCTGGCATGTGGCGGCCAAGTCCAAGGACTTTTCAGAGGTGGAGCCTCCAGCACCCCAGGTGATGGTAAGAAAGAGCGGATTGAGCGCCATCATACGGGACAAACGGGCAAGGAGGTTTCTGAAGCCGGCATCTGTCTTGGGCGGGAAAAACTCGAACGAGCAGAACCGTTCTCCGGGCTGGAGCGCCTGGATTTTGCTAAGAACGGTGGACATGATGGTGGAGGATGTAGATGAGTGCGAGTGACTCTGATGCGCAGGTGGGAGGTCCCCAGGCTAAGAGGTGGTGGAGAGGCGGCGATTTTTGAGTTCGAAAGTTGGTGATTTTTTTGAAGTTGGGATTGGGTTTGTGGGATTTTGGGCTTTTTATTTTTTGTGGAGGGCGTGGGTGGACAGGGTGGTGGGTTGTACTGGCCGTTTGCACCCATACTGAGGTCTACAGCAGTGGCTGTTTTGAGGGTTAGGTTAAGGAAGATAAAGCGAATCTACGGTAGGCGAAGTGTAAATTGATATCATAGGAAAAGTGACAAAACTTGGCTGTCATTTAAAACTTCACATTTGTTTCGTTGGATAGGTGTAACAGTGTGGTCTATGGGTGGTGAGCGCTGACTCTTTTCGCTCCATAGTGAATGTGATACTTCCACAATACGGTCATTTTGGAGGGCAAATGAGGCAAATGATGAAAAATACATAGTTTTTGTTTGAAAAAGTCATTTTTCTTCATTGGTTTAAAAAAATTAGGTGAAACTTGCATCTTTTGGTATGGTCGTTTGCAGCCATTCTTTTAGAGTGCACGGGCAAGATAAGCCAGTGGGTGGAACATCAGATACATAGAGTCACATTGGCCAATCAAACTGTATATCGAATTGACTCTTCATTTACAAATTGCTGGATAAACCTTGAAAACGTCACCATATTAGCATATTACTCATCCTTTGAGTGTGGACGCTACCTCATGTCTCATGGTATCACGTCATCACCATAGACCACTCACGAAAGTGAAACTCAAATTGCTGAGTCATTAAGACTTTCACGGTTAAGTTCATTTCCAAATGACCGAGGAGCAAAAATTGTAAAGTGACAAATTCAACAGGAAGTTGTTTAGAGGAAGGTTAATGGCACTTGGCCATTTGCAGCCATTCACTGATGCACGCTTCGAAGCGTATACCAGGGACAAAATCAGATATTTCGGAAAACGACGGAATGGAATTTAAGCTGGCTAATGACTCAAGAGTTACCGAATACTGTTGAAATCTCCATTCAGAGCAGTTCACGGTAAACCCTGCCATATCCCTCGAGTTGCCATACTTCCCTCCTCCAAACCCCATTCTACAACTCTCTTTCAGTAACTTGTATTCTACACATATCCTGCGGACCTAGGCAGCGGCAGGGCCGCATCAGACGGCGCTGTACTCGCCTCTGTTGTTGTTCCTCGTGAACTTCTCAATGATCTCCTTAATAAATACCGGCAAGCCACGCAAAAGGTCCACAAAGTTCTCCAACACCTCCTTCAATGCAGACTGGAAGTCAATCGAGTTGCCCTTGTTGTACTGGAACCACGCTCCGCCAATGATGTAGATGCTGAGGAAAAGCACCATGAAAATGAAGATCCACGTAAACCATCCCCACGACTCGCCGGTGTCCACGCGTCCGCCGTCATTGGGCTTTCTGCCCGCCTTGGCGCAAGCCTTGTCGGTCTTCAAAGTGGCCAGGAGAAGGTTGTTCTCCCACCGAGTCTCAAACTCCTTCTGAGCATCCTTGGCATCCACACACTTGAAGAACAAGTTGGCATTGAGCTTCTGGTCGCTCCATTCCACATCGTGGTACTCCACGGCAAAGCCCTCCTTGCCGTCTTCTCCCAAAGTCTTGACAACCGTAGAAGGAGTGAACTTGAATTCGAAAATCTCGGTCAACAAGCTCTTGCCGTCGTTTTTCACGGTGGTCTTTCCACATACATCAGAGTCAGGCGAGCAGCTCTGGACCAGTCCGAGGTCTTCACAGACGCCAATCAGCCACTCGATGGTGGACTCAGAAGGAGGCGTTTTCTTGGTTATGGAGGACGTGTAGACGCCTTTCAAGCCGTTGAGATCGTATGGCTGGAGCTCCTTGACAGAGCAGTCGAACGCACGTGCCTGGACCGCAAAAAGAGCAGCTAGTAGCACCGAAAGCAACCAGTTCATGATACAATCAGTAGTAGGATCGACAGAAAAGATATCGCTCAATATAGATAGAGAGTGGTGCACGGGTGCACGCCTCTACGGGGATCTTCCTACTGTGCCACCCCGGGGATGGTAGCCGGTAGAAACTAGAATTGTATCTATTGTATAGTGAATTTGATGATATGTTTGATTGGGGTGGGATGAAGGGTTTGGGTAGGTGCGTCAGGTTTGACCTCATTGACAGGGTCTGAGACATTGAGTAAATCATGGTAACTCGGCAGAAAGGAAGTCCATTAATAAGGGAATCAGGGATTGAGGGAGATCTGAAAACGTATCAATGACATTCTCTTTTGAGCACAATTGCCAGTTAAAGTCTTGAAGTCATTACTGCAATTCGCATAGATTGAA